TTTTGGCATCAATTCGAAAAATTCTCATTCATTTCCTTAGAAATAATTTCTACATTATTAACGCAACTTCGAACAAAAATTTTTGTGGAATGTATCGAAGCCACCGATTTCTTGTGTTCGGTGACCAGTAGTGGATTTTTATGTAGAATATTTTTTCCATTGAGATCCTTCCCCTGCAATGACGTTTTCATTGAAATTTTGCCATTAATTCGAAAAATTCTCAGTTATTTCCTTAGAAATAATTTCTACATTATTAACGCAACTTCGAACAAAAATTTTTGTGGGATGTATCGAAGCCACCGATTTCTTGTGTTCGGTGACCCATAGTGGAATTTCATGCAGAATAGTTTTTCCATTGACACCCTTCCCCTGCAATGAAGTTTTCATTGAATTTTCGCCATCGATTTGAAAAATTCTAATTTATTTCCTTAGGAATAATTTCTATATTATATATCCAACTTCGAACAAATATTTTTGTGGGATGTGTTGAAGCTACCGATTTCTTGTGTTCGGCGACCCATAGTGGAATTTAATGCAGAATATTTTTTCCATTGACACCCCCCCCCATACAATGAAGTTTTCATTGATTTTTTGTCATCTATTGGAAAAGTTCTAATTTATAGTCATGAAAATTATAATAAAATATTAATCAATTATTTATTTAGAATAATATATTGTGATATAATATAAATAATAAAACATGTTTTAATTTTTATCCGAACAGCGATATTGGGGACAACATTGTGGATAAGGTTTGGATAAATTATAAGGTGTAACGGTACATTTTAAATGTGGTGGAAATGCAACGCTGGCACAACTAAAAAAATAAGCAAGAAAATAGAAAAAAATAGAAATTTATTTAAATAAAAAATATACTTAATTTTTTTAAATTAAAAATTTAATATTTTCTTATTAAATTAATTTTCTTTAATTGGAATAAAAATATATTTCAATTATCCATTATATTCACATACCCAACAGCGCCAACATTATCCTTGCCATAACAATGAATTCTTTCACAAACTCCTTTCAAGAAATATTGTTCGCCTCTCTTGATGGTGATGCCATTAATGGTACAGGTGGTGCTCGCGACTAAAAAAAATGGAACCACATTTATTTTTTGTTAATTTTGTCTATGATACCAATTTTTGTTAAAACCATTACCATTAACCAGGCTTAGCAGGTAATATGCAAAAATGTATCCTAGAATTAGGGAAAATTTCATTATTTTTCTTTAGTTTGAAGGCACCAACAATTCGAAATAAACTATAAATCGTGTATACAAATTAGAATATTTATATAGATATAAATTTTCATTTATATTCACACCAAAAATGTATTTTTTTTGCATAACACTGGACTACAAGAAAATTTTATTTTAGCAAAATGGAAATATTTTTTTCTTTGAAATAAATGTTAATGTTTTGAATTGATGGAAAATTTTCAATTAAAACTTCATTAAGGGGGAAGGGTGTAAAGGGAAAAAATATTCTCCACAAAATTTCACTATAGGTCATCGAACACAAGAAATCGGTGGATTTAATACATCCTACAAATGTATCGGTTCGAAGTTAGATATACAATGAAGAAATTATTTTCCTGGAAATAAATAACGTTTTTTTTTCAAATCGATGCGAAAATTCCAATGAAAACTTCATTGGAGGGGAAGAGTGTCAATGGGAAAAATATTCTACATTAAATTCCACTATGGGTCGTCGAACAGAAGAAATCGGTAGCTATAACAAATTCCATAGAAATATCGATTCTAAGTTGGATATATAATGAGGAAATTATTTCCATTGAAATGAATGGGAATTTTTCGAATCGATGTCAAAATTTCAATGAAAACTTCATTGGAGGGGAAGGATGTAAAGGGAAAAAATATTCTCCACAAAATTTCACTATGGGTAATCGAACACAAAAAATCGGTAGCTTTAACACATCCTGCAAAAATATTTCTTCGAAGTTGGGTTAATAATGTACTAATTATTTCTAAGGAAATAAATGAGAATTTTTCGAATCGATGGCAAAATTCCAATGAAAACTTCATTGCAGAAGATGGGTGTCAATGGGAAAAATATTTTACATTAAATTCCACTATGGGTCACCGAACACATGAAATCGGTAGCTATAATAAATCCCGCAAAAATTTTTTTTCGAATTTGGATATATAATGTAAAAATTATTTATAAGCAAATAAATGTGAACTTTTCAAATCGATGGCAAAATTCCAATGAAAACTTCATTGCAGGGGAAGGGTGCAAAGGGAAAAAATATTCTACATCATATTTCACTATGGATCGCCGAACACAAGAAATCGATAGCTTCAACACATCCCACAAAAATATTTGTTCGAAGTTGGATATATAATGTAAAAATTATTTATAAGCAAATAAATGTGAACTTTTCAAATCGATGGCGAAATTTCAATGAAAATTTCATTGCAGGGGAAGGTTGCAAAGGGAAAAATATTCTACAATAAATTCCAATATGGGTCACCGAACACAAGAAATCGGTAGCTTTAACACATCCTGCAAAAATTTTTCTTCGAAGTTGCGTTAATAAAGTAAAAATTATTTCTAAGGAAATAAATGAGAATTTTTCAAATCGATGGCAAAATTTCAATGAAAACTTCATTGCAGGGGAAGGGGGCAAAGGGGAAAATATTCTACATCATATTTCACTATGGATCGCCGAACACAAGAAATCGGTAGCTTCAACATATCCCACAAAAATATTTGCTCGAAGTTGGATATATAATGTAGAAATTATTTCTAAGGAAATAAATGAGAAGTTTTCAAATCGAAGGCGAAATTTCAATGAAAACTTCGTTGCAGGGGAAGGGTGCAAAGGGAAAAAATGTTCTCCACAAAATTTGAATATGGGTCGCCGTACAGAATAAATCGGTAGCTATAATAAATCCCACAAAAATATTTGTTCGAAGTTGGATATATAATGTAGAAATTATTTCTAAGGAAATAAATGTGAATTTTTCGAATCGAAGGCGAAATTTCAATGAAAACTTCGTTGGAGGAAAAGGGTGTAATGGGAAAAAATATTCTTCATCATATTTCACTATGGGTCGCTGAACGCATGAAATCGGTAGCTTTAACACATCCTGCAAAAATATCGATACGAAGTTGTATATATTATGAAATTATTTCTAAGGAAATAAATGGACATTTTTTAAATCGATGGAAAAATTTCAATGGAAACTTCATTGGAGGGGTAGGGTGTCAATGGAAAAAATATGCTCCACAAAATGTCACTTGGGGTCACCGAACACAAGAAGTGGTTATCTATAATATGTATCTCAAAAATATCGAGTTGAAATTAAGTATGTAAAATATTTCTTTAATTTTTTTGTTATACAAACGAAAGAAATGCATACATAAATTGTTGTTATTTATTTTTTTTTGTTATTTGTATACTAGTGTATTTGAAATGCTTTCTTTATGTACGTGATATATTGGTAGTTCTGAAAATTATGAAATTTCAATTTGAAGTATTTTTTTTTTAATTTTTGTTTTTGAACTATGGATTTTGAACTATGAATTTTGATCTGACCATTCATTGGTCATATAACGTATTATGAAATTGTCAAAATTGTTTTGTTTTTATTAAATTTAACACATCTAAAAACAACTATATATAGTCTGGTGTAAAATATAATTTTTTAACAGTCTATAGAAAAACACTAACCCAACAAAATAATAGAAAAAAAATGAAAATTATTTTCACACTTTTTGCTTTGATTATAGTCATGGTTAATGGTAAATATTTTTTTTCGGAATTACATATATATTTTTTTCGAATTTATTTTCTGAACTTTTTTTCAGCCGCTGCCAAGGATACCTGTACGCTCAATGGCATTACCGTTCATGTGGGTGAGCAATTTTATTTGCCCGGTGTTTGTCAAGAGATTATATGTTATGAAAATCAGACAATTGGCGGAGTTGGGTAGGTCGAAACAATGTCTATATATATATATATATTATGTAAATAATATAATTTGCCCTTATAGCTGCGCGGATGTTGCATTTCCACCCCATTTGAATTGTAGCGTAACGGAGGACTTATCAAAACCCTATCCCGAATGTTGTCCCCAGCATCACTGTACCGAGAGACGAGCAAATTAGCTGATATTTTCAATATCTTAAAAATTCAATAAAGAAAATTCGAATTAAAAAACAAATCCTCTATGCCTTTGTTGTAGCCTTGAAAAAATATTTTTAAAAAATCCTCCACTATGGGAGGACAAAAACAAATATTTAAAAAAAAATTCTCGACTTTTTAAAAGTTTTGAAAATTTAATTTTAAAAAATCTACGCATTTTTTTGGACTTTAAAAAATATTTAAAAAAAATCCAAGCCTTTGGTGTGATAAAATTTGCTCGATAAAATTATAATGCTTCACCTTCGGCAGATTTTTCGTCATCACATCCGCTACCATATCAGCTGTTTACTGTATTATATACCTTTCTCGGTCTACCTGGCTTTCCCGTTCTAGTAATTTTCAGCCTACCTCGATCACTCTGACTTTCTGCTTCAACGATCTCTTCATTGTTGTCAACGGCAATGTAACTGTTTTCCTCTTCTGCATCTACTGTATTGAAACTGTCGTCGTGTTCGCCTCTTTCTTGTTCATTGACATCGTCGTCAACCACACAAACACCCTCTTGAGTTTCCCCCTCAGCCACAAAAGGAAAAACAAATAGATCGTTGCTTGATACATCATGATCATTTTTGCCGTCATTTCTGTCAAAATTATTTTCGTCGAAGAGTACACCTCGCGCCTCAAAAACTCTGTTCTTCTTGGGATCATACAATCGGTATGATTTTGCTGTTGTTGAATACCCAACCAATTATGTATTCATTCCCCTTTGCATCGAACTTCGAATACACCCAAACGTTTTAAGGTGTTTGACACTCGGCTCACTTCCATATCACACATAATACGGTGTCTCATTTTTTAATTGTTCTGTAGAGCATCTGTTTCTGATGTACACTGCAGTGTTAATGGCCTCTGCCCACAATCACTGCTCAACATTGGCATGGAGCATTATCGATCTTGCCATCTCAACAATCGTACGGTTAGTCGTCTCTGCTACGCCGTTTTGTTGTGGCGTGTATGGCACCGTCAACTGCCTTTGTAAACACTCTCTCTGCAAAAATGCGTCGAACTCGTTGTTTACATATTCCTTGCCATTATCCGTTCTTATTGCTTTTATTTTACGACATGTTTGACGCTCGACCATTACCTTGAATAACTTAAATTTATCAGTAAAAACATCACTCTTGTTCTTCATGAAGTACATGAACATCCGTCTCGACTTGTTGTCAATAAAAGTAACGAAGTACTTCGAGCCCGCAATCGAACACGTCCTAAATGACCCATACACATCGCTATGGACAAGTTCCAGCAACTCATTCGATTTTGTTTGCGACTCAGGGAACGGCAGTGTGTGAATTTTGCTGATCATGCATGTTCGGCAATTCACATCAGTCACCTTCTCTACCTGCATGGCCCTCATCATGTTCTTATTGGATAACTCATGCGAGCTGTTAAAATTCAAATGTCCATACCTGTTGTGCCATGTGGTGCTGTTGTTGTTGTTTATTGCATACAACTCTTGGGTTTTGTTCTCGCACACTTCGAACATATTGTCTCTTTTTTCGCACGTAAAACAACGCTGTCATCATCTCTTTTTATGACTGCTCCATCTCTGTCGAAATTGAACTGCAATCCTCTGTCGACTACTTTGCTCACCGAAATGAAGTTTGCCTGCAACTCAGGTGAATAGAGCACATGCGACTTCATTTCAGGAGTCCAACTTAGAGACTACGAAGAAATATTTACATTTACTACAACTTAGAATGTGTTCTAATCTAACGTCATACATTTGCATAAGAGTTGCTATTAACATATTTCAATATGGTGGGTCCTTCAAAAAATATTTAAACACATAGAAAACATATTTTTAAAAAATACATTTTTTTAAATCGTCGCCTATTGTAAAATAGAGAAAAATATTTTTAAAAAACCTCGCCTATTGTTAGGTGGAGAAAAAACACCTTCCAGAGAACCTTGAACAAGGGAAGGGCATTAAAAAATATTTTGAAAAAATAATAGAAAAAATAATTTACAAAAATCGTCGACTGTGTTGGAGACACATTTTCTTGTTTTTAAATCCACCCCTTTGACTATGCTCTTAAAAATATTTTTAGTGCATTGAAGAAATATTTTGAAAACTAACACACTATCTTCTGGTGGGGGGTATACAAAATACAAAAAACAATGAAAAAACCCAAAATTGTGTTGCTTTTATTTTCGTCGAATATTTGTTTCTGATAAGCCTGCCAAGAAGTCGACAAGCGTTGTTCGAATTGCCACAACTCATCAGTTCGTATCAGAACCTCGATTGGGATAGAATAGTCAAAATGAAAATCAAATCAACTCTTTTATTCGTATTAATAATATTACAAATATTAACTGAGAATAAGGCAGATGACAATATCGTTGCCCCACCGTCAGTACCCTCCTCAAGAACGACACCACAACGGTCACCAATGACGGCACAGCCATCCCCGAAAACACCACTATCATCTCCGACGAAGACACCACTACCACTGAAAAATATTATGTAATTATAATTCCAAAATCTAGAATTCGAAATATTTCAATAAAATTTAATTCACAATCGACATTTTAGAATCCCTACGAAGACGAACATCAACTGTTTCTGTGGAAGAATTTATTTCTAAAAGTGAATAACCTATTGGTGGAGACGAAGAACATGAACAGTGAAACGAAGGAAATGCGCAGCGAAATGACTAGAATGTATAGCGAAATAAATAAACTAAACACCAATCTGCTGAATGTGACTCATAAGTAAGTATTTGGAACCGAATTGATAATGAATTAAATTTTAAAAGATTTCGATTTTATTATCCTATTTTATTTCAGAATTGATGATTTGACCAAAAGGTAAGGTACTCTACCCAGCTATAAAGTTTCATAGAACAATTAGGGTGTTCGAAAAATCGAAACACATCCACCCAACGTACTCTCAAAAAATCCAACGATACGGGAACCAAAATATCCAATCCTTAAAGTGATTTGAGTATTCAATATCAAAATTTTATTCGAATATGTTGACGATTAATCATATTTGTTTTATTTCCAGGCAAGAGGAACTGGAAGGGAACATGGCAAAAATAGTGGAGCAGCAAATGTCATCGATGAATGTCACCTTGATGGAGAGGTATGTATTAAAACTATTTTAAGAGAACAATGTACTTTAAGGGTTTAGGGGCACTAGGTGTACGACTATTCAGGCTTGAAGAACTATTTATACAAAATCACAGCCAAAGCGATGCTAAAATTCAGCCAAAAACTTCAAAATATTGAAAATTGTTCGGTAGCCTTATATGGAATCAATACCAGAAAATGTACAGGCATTTAATAATTTTTGGCAGGAAGTGGATATATACAACTAAGGAGGTCTCAGGTGAATATTTCGAGCTAATTAAAAATAACCAGAACCTAGTCTTTTTCAATTATAAAACTTCGAATAGTGACGGGCAAATAGTGGTGTTGCTAATTAAGACTCTGACTTCAATCCGATATTAGTTAGACATTTTTTTCTTGGATTATTTGTGGTAATTGAGGTTATCTTATACGAAGGGTAAAGAAATAATTTATTTGATTAGAACTTTGCCCTGGAAAATTTCTCTCATTTCCAAGAGTGAGTTAAAGCGGATATATTCTGAAAAGGTTGTATGCCACTTACGATTGGAGACTTTGCAGGGCATGGCAACAAATTATATATCTCACTTGGAAAACTGGCATAACTGTGCTCTAGAGAAAATTGATTTACACAAATGGCGCCCAACATGATATTTGTCATTGATGACACGAAACAAAAAATTATATCACGCCTGTAGAACCAACATAAAATATGTTTAGCTATTCGAAACAGGAAAATGTCTATGCTGCAGAGAAATACAAATCCTTAAAATGCTGATTTATACAAATGGCGCCCAACATGACCAACTATTGTTATACCCTTCACCACACGGTGGTACAGGGTAGTATGTCTTTGTGCATATGTTTGTAACAGGCAAAAGGAAACGACATAGATCCAAGGTTTCTTTTGAGAATATGCATGGAATCACTTTCTGAGTCGATTTATGCATGTCCATCCGTCTGTAGATGTTAAATTGTAAACAGAATACAGGTCGCATTTATAATCCGATTTAGATGAAATTTGGCACAGCTCACATATATGGCCCAACGATGAACCCTGTTGAAATGTGGAAAAATCAATTCAGATTTAGATATATCTCCCATATATATTTTCGTCCGATTTTATGTAAATGGTGCAACAAAGTTCCTATATATCGTACGATTTGCACGAAATTGGGCATAGCCTTCTAAATTGAGTCTAGAAGGATTTGTGCCAAGTTTCGTGAAAATCGGTTCAGATTTAGATATAGCTCCCGTATATAATTACTTCCGATATTAAGACCCATAGTTTGTCCGACTGGCACACAATTTGTCCAACGTACTGAAGTTAATATAAATTAATCTGTGGCAAGCTTCGTTGAAATCGGTTCAGATTTAGAAATAGCTTTTGTCCGATATATATGGTGTACCAAATTTTATGTAATACGAAATTTTGCACCACCAAAAATTCTTGAATAAATGAGTTTTCTCTCTTTTTTATTTTATTTCAGACTTGATGATTTAACCCAAAGGTACGCGATATATGCAATATGGGAGATACACCAAATTAAACGGTTTCTCAGAAGGGAAATAACTCAATTTTCATCGTCCATTCAATTCCTTTTTTTATTTCGCAGGCAACAGGATCACGAAAAGTATATAAAACCATTAGTGGATTACATGTCCTGGGTTAACGGGGACCGCATGTATGTATGAAACAATTTACAACAAATCAAGCACGTATCAATCGGCTATGCCGATCCATGTCTATCATCTTTGTATTCATCCAAGTTTAATTTCGTACATTTTTACCGATTCTATTCGAGTACCCTTCACCACGCTGTAGCAGGCAAAAGGTAACGACTAGGAGCCATGGTTACCTTTGAGGATATATACAGAGAATCGTTTTTTGAGTCGATTTACGTATGTCCGTCCGTCTGTGCGCACGTAGTATTTGATATTATCTTATACGAATGGCAAAAAATGGTTATTTTGACTAGAACTTGGCCCTGGAAGATTGTCAAAGGATCCCGCTTTTCCAAGAGGGTGTTAACGGGGAAATATTCAGAAATTATTGCTCGTCTCTTTCAATTGAAGAATTCGCAAGGCAGGGAGGTTATTCTGTTTCTCATTTTCGTTTCAATTGTTCGTCTGTTTTTTCGCCCATTTTTCAATAAAAAACCAGTAAGGAAAGTAGTAAAGTCGGACGGGCCGACTATATGAGACCCTTCACCACTTTGGGTATATCTAACTTGATGAATCCTAACAGACGTCGAATTTTTGAAGGACCAGAGACAAAATTACGTAAATCAATTTAAAGGGTATATATATATATATATATATATATCGGAATCTAAATCGATTTCAACTAAACTTGCCACACGTTACGTTATAGTAACTTTAGTACGTAGTGCACAATTTTGTGCCGATTGGCCCCACCTTGGTGCTTATATCCAACTTCTAGCAATATTTGTGTCAATTTTGTGTAACATCGGACGACGTCATTTACAATAAATCGGACGAAAATATATATGGGAGATATATTTAAATCTGGACCAATTTTCAAGAAACTTAACACCTATCATTCTAGGCTTAACTCATTACGTTATCCCAAATTTCGTGCAAATCGAATGATATATAGGGACTTTGACATACCATATACATTAAATCAGATGAAAATATATATGGGAGCTATATCTAAATCTGGGCCGATTTTCAGGAAACTTAACACACATCATTCTAGGCTTAACTCATTACGCTATGCCAAATTTCGTCTAAATCGAATGATATATAGGGACTTTGGTATTCCATACACATTAAATCGGACGAATATATATATATATGAGCGCTATATCTAAATCTGGACCTATTTTCAGGAAACTTAACACATATCATTCTAGGCCTAATTCAGTACGTCGTGCCAAATTTCGTGCAAATCGCAAGATATATAGGGACTTTGGTACACCATTTACATTAAATCGGACGAAAATATATATGGGAGCTATATCTAAATCGTCCTTGGGCCAAATAAGTCATGTATGCCAAATTTTATCCAATTCGGATCATAAATGCGACCTGTACTTTGTTTACAATTTAACATAGACAGACAGACGGACGGACATGCATAAGTCGACTCAGAAAGTGATTCTATGTATATTCTCAAAAGGAACCATGCGTCTATCTCGTTTCCTTTTGCCTGTTACAAACATATGCACAAAGACATAATGGCCTGTACCACAGTGTGGTGAAGGGTATAACATTTATAATCATGATTTCAAGAATATGCCAGATATGCATACGCCGTACTCTAATAACGCAAAATTTGTTTTCAATTTTTTTCCAGAAAATATCTTGAGACTTTACGAAATTGGACAACAATTGCCAGACGCATGGACGGCTCTGTCGATTTTTACCGAGGTTGGAAGGAATATAAATTTGGTTTCGGTAATCCACCTCACGGTGAATTCTTCATTGGCCTAGACAGATTGCGTGAATTGACGACAGCCTTTCCAAACATCGAACTTAAAGTGATTTTAAGAGATTGGGAGGGCGAGGAACGTTACGCTCACTATGATTCCTTTAAAATCGGAAATGAAACCGAGAAATATCGACTCAAGGTACTAGGCAAATACAGTGGCACTGCTGGTGATTCCTTGGCGTATCACCATGGTAAGAAGTTTTCTACCTTCGATGAGGATAATGATAACGATAGTTATAATAATGCCAAGTATTACAATGGGGCTTGGTGGTTTGGAAGTACTTACTATAGGTATAACAATCATATTCGATTACATATTATTGTTTTGTTTTTAATTTTTTTTTTGTAATTTGTCTTTGCAGTCATCTGTTTGGACCATATAAAAATGAGAAGAATATAAATTCATATGGCATTGGATGGTATCATTTCAAAAATACTCATTATTATTCATATAAATATGCCGAAATGCTCATTAGAGCAAAACCGGCATAAATATATATTTGTTAATGTTTCTAATATTGAATATTGAAAATAAATAAATATATGACAATTTATTTTGACTTTCTCAGTCTACTTTCAAGAAACAAAATATTTCCATTTTTATTTATTTTATAAGAAAGGATGAATTTTTTTCAAGAATATTTTGATGCCATCAAAGTAATTACAGCGGGGTATAATGCACTTCTGGCCCAGGGGGTTTACCAAATTCAGATCCAAATTTCTTGCAGTTTTGTTTTAGATTGGGGAAGCCAAGTAAAGAAATTCAACTATGGAATTCAGGTATTTTCAAAAAAGGTTGAGGTAAGTATACTTAAAAGAAATGTAAAAAATTAAAAATTTTCATTGGCTGTTGATATAAAAAAATCAAAGAAATTGGCCACATTTGAAAACCTTTATTACATTTTGTAAAAAAATATATGTATATAAATTAATGGACCTTGGAAATATATTGAAAACCTTGTAAACACGTCATTTAGTTCGGATAGGCTGAACATTTTATGCTCTACACAATATGCCTTAAGGGGACCAACCCCCCCATTCTCGGGGTCAAAATTTTTGTTGATATAATTCGAATCTACACTGATTAAAGAATGTCTCTACAAAATTTCAAGTGAAAATCTCAAGAACTCTTGAAGATATATCCGATTTATTGTGTCAGCATCAAGTGACGGCTGAAGGGCTTCTCAAACTTTAAACGCGTTTTTCTCTAAACATTTTTTTGCGAATGACGCGGCACGATAACTCAAAAACTAATAATCCAATCGGTTCCAAATTTTGCAACGTTTCTCTGGGAGTGTATAGCTCTCGTATGAACTAGGATAAAGCCAATCGGTGAAGATCTTCCTTATTTTTTAACTTGGTTTTTGGTAAAAAATCGGCGATTTTCCAAAAATATTTTTTCAAAGGTCCACCATTTTTTTAATTTTAGAGCGAAGTCAATAATCCTAGTTCATACGAGAGCCAGACATGTATTCTTTCTAACACCGTTGGAATTTTCGGATTCCGATGATCCAGTGAGGAGTTATCATGCCCGCCATCAAATATAAGGACTTTTCTTTAATTACAAAAAACAACAACAAAACAATAACAAAATTTTTTTGTAAATTATTTTTCTTCTCTTTTAAATCTTCAAATATATATGTGCAAAGTTACAAACCTTAACAAGCATTGGTATTGATTTCCCAGCCCATTGAAAATCTTGAAAAATTTAAATCGAGAATGGGTGGGGTTTCCTTAAATCGGTTGGGATCTTATGTTAAATCAGATACCTACATTGCCTAATTTCGATAAATATGTTTGAAAGCCCTGAGGAAGCCTTTGTAACAAATTTCAGCCATGTCGGTGGGGGGAAATCCAGTCAAAGCCTTTAAAATACCGAAAATGAATCGGTACGGTTATATGGGAGCTATAACAGAACGGGGAACGATATTGATTTTTTTTTTATTGATGGGAAGATTTGAAACCCCATTAGAAGCTGAAATAAACAAATTAGAGAAAATCCTATTGAAAAATTCACCCAAAATACGGAATAAGGTGGGTGTACCATTATATGGATATACTTTCCGAAATCATGGGTCGTTACTGATCATTTTTGATAGTTAAATTTTCGACTCAAAATCATCAAAAATATATAAAATTATAGCCAATTTGGTTGAATAATGTGTCAAAATCCTTCAAAATACCGAATATTTGGGGGTACCCTTATATGGGGGCTATACTAAAAATTGAATTAATTTTGATAATTTTTGGTAGGCAGATGTATTACCCAACGAGAACCCAAAAAACCAAATTGCTGCTGTTTAGGTGGAAAAACGTAAACAAAAGCTCCAAAATACCGAATATTTGGGAATACCCTTATATGGGGGCTATTCTAAAAATTAAACCAATTTTGATAATATTTGGTAGGAAGATGTATTACCTAATGAGAACCCAAAATACCATATTAGAGCTGATTAGGTTGAAAAACGTGTCCAAGCTCCGCAAAATACCGAATATATATTTTTTTGGGTACCCTTATATGGGATATACCCCGAAACATTAGCCTATATTGATAATTTTTGGTAGAAAAGATTTTCTTTCAAATGAGAATCCTAAAAAATATAAAGATCCCCAAAATACCGAATAATGAGAGATGCCGCTCTGTGGGGAGTGGACCCTTAAATCACACACCTAATACCTAAAAATGTATAGATCACAAAAATTACTGCCCCGCTTTATTGAGAATTGTCTAAAAAAAAAGAAAACTTGGAAAGAAGACCCAAAAAGTCCCCTTTTATGAAGGGCTAGAGGGTTAATGTGTTCCACAAAAATATTAAGCCTAATGTTAGTAGGAATATCGCCGAACACACCTTATATCTAAAATGTACACAACAAAAGAATTTCCCTTGCAGATTCATTGATAATTGAAGAAAAAGTGAACAAAAAACAGGAAAATATTTAAAGAAGTCCCAAAAAGGTCCCCTTAAATGAAACGCTACAGGGTTAATTATGTCTACAAAAATATTCACCATAATGTTAGTAATAAAATTGCGGAACATACCCAATACCCAAAATTAATAGATCACAACATTTCCCGTCTCGTTTAAATGAGAATTGATCAAAAAATGTAAATCGTGGACAGAAGACCCAAAAGGTCCCCATTAATTGAAACGCTACAGGGTTAATTATGTCCACAAAAATATTCACCATAATGTTAGTAATAATATTGCCGAACACACCTTATACCTAAAATGTACACAACAAAAGAATTCCCTTTGAAGATTCATTGATAATTGAAGAACAAGTAATCAAAAGGGGAAATATTTTAAAGAAGTTCCGTAAAGTCGTCTTAAATGATACGCTAGAGGGTTAATATGTTCCACAGAAATATTAAGCATAATATTAGTAATAATATTACGGAACACACCCAATACCCAAAATTAATAGATCACAACAATTCCTGCCTCGATTAAATGAGAATTGACCAAAAAATGTAAATCTTGGAAAGAAGACCCAAAAGATCCCCCTTAAATGAAGCGTTAGAGGGTTAATATATTCCACAAAAATATTCCCCATAATGCCATAGAAAATATTGCCGAACACACCTTATACCTAAAATGTACACAACAAAAAAATGTTGCCTGAAGATTCATTGATAATTGAAGAAAAAGTGAGCAAAAAAGAGGAAAATATTTAAAGAAGTCCCAAAAGGTCCCCTTATATGAAACGCTATAGGGTTAATTATATCCAAAAAAAAAAAATCACCATAATGTTAGTGATAATATTGCGGAACACACCTTATACCTAAAATGTACACAACAAAAGAATTCCCTTTGAAGATTCATTGATAATGGAAGAACAAGTAATCAAAAGGGGACATATTTTTAAGAAGTTCCGAAAGGTCACCTTAATTGATACGCTTAGTTGGACAAAAATATTCTCCATAATGTTGTAAAAAATATTGCCGAACACACCTAATACCAAAAATGTATAGATCAAACAAATAAGGAAAGAAAACAAAATGACTTGACCTTGAGAATTTTTAAAATTTGAAGTCATTCTTAATTGTGGTCGCTGTTGTAGTTGTTGTTGTTGTGCAATGATAAGAACCAAGGCATAAATTCTGAGATTGCAAAAAAAGCCAACAACAAATGTTGTACAACAAACAAATATTTATAGAAGAAAATATTTTCCCAGTTAAAAATTCGTATTCCATAATAATATGGGTTGGTCATCCATCAATGGGCAGCTGCAATTCGATCGAAGAGTCTTGTTTTCGCCCTCCCATGGATGGATGATAAACCAATGGAGTAAATAAGTTTTTTTATGCCCTCCCCTACAACATGGAGTGTATATTAAATATCTCATTCCATTTGCCAACATCTTGATATACTTATTTCCGATCCTATCCTAAGTATGCATATATATTCCTGATCAGAATAAAATTCCATGTGGATTTAGTCATGTCCGTCTGTTCAAATCTCGATGGAGCCGGAGCAATATTTAAGATAGAGTTTTGATATTTTGCACATATATTGCTACTGGTCGTAGGATGTTTGGTATTGGAAATGGGATATATCAGATCACATTTTGGTATTGCCCCCATACAACAGGACCTCCCACAATATTCGGGGTTATTTTTTTGAGGATTTTGGGCACGTTTTTCAGCTGTAATTTGGTATTTTGGGTAGAAAATCTTCCAACAAAATCTATTTTAATATTGATCCACTTTTTAGGATGGCCTCCATAGAGCGGTATCCCCGATATTCGGTATTTTGAAATGTTTTTGGGCACATTTTTTAATAGAATTGGTTCTTAATTGATATTCTCAAGTAACAAGCAAAATCTCCCAGACCGTTTCTCATTAGAAGGAGCTGAAATTTGGAATATCTTCCTGCTAAAAATTATCATAATTGGTTTACTTTTTAGAGTAGCCCACACCCCTGTATAACACTGCTTCGCAAATTTTGATATTTTGAGGAGTTTGAGGTTGAGCTTCAACCAAATTGTTGGCAATTTTATATTTTGAATGATTTTTGAGTAGAAAATCTCTCTACCAAAAATTCTCAATATTATCGGAAATTTCCGGGTAGCCCCCATACAATGGTACTCTACATTATTCGTTGTTTTGGCGGGGTGATTGGACACGATATTCCATCCAATTGGCTGTAATTGGATTTTTCAGCTTCTCAGGGGGTGTCACATCTCACTACCGACAATTTTAAATGTTGGTTTAAGTGTGTGTCCCGCCTATTATTCGGTACTTTGAAGGCTTCGACTGCATTTTCACATCTCTGTGGCTGTAATTTTGTACCAAAAGGTTCTTGAAGGTCCATGATTTGACATGGCCTCACATATACTGGTAGATCTCAATTTGTCGTATTTTTGAAGATTTTAAATGTATTTTTTGCATCGAAGTGGCAATAATTTGCCATTGGAGGAGGGATATTGAGGGGTAAAAAATTTAAATGGCAATAAGAATTTTATACTTTATAGGGTCTACGAAGGATCCTTCGAGGTTGTTGCAAAGGGAATAACAAATTGAAACACTACCTTTTGGTGGAGGGAATACAAAGAAAAAAAAACACTAAGGAAAGTAGTAAAGTCGGACTGGGCCGATTATATGATACCCTTCACCACTTTGGGTATATTCTAGATATGTCTCCTAACAAATGTCGCCATTTCGAAGGAACAATGACATGAAATTGAACGAACTGGAATATGTGATCTTTATGGCTTTCTAGTTCGAATTAGAGCAAACTTGATACACGCTATTCGGTAGGCCACACTCTTCAAAATTTAATCTCAATTAGACACCCGTTTGAAATCTATTTCTGAAAGCTGCGTCTGCATCTGCACCAGTTGCAACAATACGCAATAACGTCATTCTAGTTTCAATTCGATAGGTTGTGCAGAATTTCGTGTCACTCGATGCACCGTTTATCTAAAATCCAACGAAAATATATATGGGAGCTATATCTAAATCTGAACCGATTTTTACGTAACTTTGCACACATCATTCTAGACTCAATTCAGTACGCTGTGCCAAATTTCCTGAAAATCGAAAGATATATAGGAACTTTGGTGCACCATTTCCATTAAATCGGACGAAAATATATATGAGAGCTATATCTAAATATAAACCGATTTTCACGAAACTTAACACACTTCATTATGGACCTAATTCAGTACTCTATGCCAAATTTCGTGCAAATTGTAAGATATATAGGGACTTTGGTGCACCATTTACCTTAAATCGGACGAATTATATATGGGAGCTATATCTAAATCTGAACCGATTTTCTTGAATTTCAATAGGGTTCGTCCTTGGGCCAAACAAATGAGCTGTGCCAAATTTCAGCCAAATCGAATCATAAATGCGACCTGTACTTTGTTTACAATTTAATATGCACCGCCAGACGGACATGCAGATATCGTCTCAGAAAGTGATTCTAAGCATATTCTCAACAGGAACCATGGGTCCATCTCGTTTCCTTTGGCCTATATGCACAAAGAATAATAATACCCTGTACCACAGTGTGGTGAAGGGTATAATAAGAATTTTATACTTTATGGGTGCTACGACGAGGTGTTGCAAACGGAATAACAAATTGACACACTACCTTCGGGTGGAGGGGATACATAAAAACAAAATAAAATAAATAAAAAAAGAAAATTGTGTTGTTTTTATTTTTGCGGAATATTTGTTTCTGATCAATGTTTACTCATACGATTAACAAGAAGGCGAATTCAAAATCTTCATTGACTTTCTTGTTTGAAGAATAAATAAACAAACAGTATTTTTATTCGAAACAAAATATTCGTGTACAATCTTATCAATAGGCTTTGTTGAAATATATTTGGAATTTGTATCCTGTTCTGCTTTGTATTTCGCGATTAAAAAGTTGACAGCAAGCGAAGACTAAGGCTTGCCGGTTAACCTTATGAATAAACTTTGTTTCTGATAAGCCTGCCTGCCAATAAGTCAACAAGCAATGTTCGAATTGCCTCAACTCATCAGTTTGCATTCGAACCTCGATCGGGATAGAATAATCAAAATGAAAATCAAAGCAATTCTTTTATTCGTATTAATTGTATTACAAATACTAATTGGAAATAAGGCAGACGACAATGTCGTTGCCTCCACCGTCAGTACCCTCCTCAAGAACGACACCACAACGGCCACCAATGACGACACAGCCATCCCCGAAAACACCACTATCATCTCCGACGACGACACCACTACCACTGAAGAATATTATGTAATTATAATTTTAGAATCTAGAATTAGAAATATTTCAATAAATTTACAATCAACATTTTAGAATCCCTATGAAGACGAACAACAACTGTTTCTGTGGAGTGATTTATTTCTAAAAGTGAATGACCTATTGGTGGAGTCGAAGAACATGAACAGTGAAACGAAGAAAATGTACAACGAAACGAAGGAAATGCACAGCGAAATGAATAAACTAAACACCAATCTGTTGGATGTGACTCAGAAGTAAGTATTTGGAACCGAAAATTAAGTGAATTAAATTTTAAATTATCTTGATTTGATTCTCCTATTTTATTTCAGAATTGATGATTTGACCAAAAGGTAAGATACTCTACCCCACGATAAACTTTCTTAGGACACTAAGGGTGTTCCAAAAATCGAACCACATCCACCCATCCTATCCTCAAAAACTTCCAACTATAAAGAAACCAAAAATATCCAATCCTTAAAATGATTTGAGTATTCAATATCAAAATTTTATTCGAATAAGTTGACGATTAATCACATTTGTTTTATTTCCAGGCAAGGGGAACTGGAAGGGAACGTGGCAAAAATAGTGGAGCAACAAATGTCATCGATGAATGTCACCCTGATGGAGAGGTATGTATTAAAACTATTTTAAGAGACCAATGTACTTTAAGGGTTTAGGGAAAAAACAATTCAGATTTAGATATAGCTCCCATATATATTTTCGTCCGATTTTATGTAAATGGTGCAACAAAGTTCCTATATATCATTCGATTTGCACGAAATTTGACATAGCCTTCTAAATTGAGTCTAGAAGGATTTGTGTAGTTTAGATATAGCTCCCGTATATAATTTCTTCCGATATTAAGACCCATAGTTATGAATATGTTGACGATTAATCACATTTGTTTTATTTTCAGGCAAGAGGAACTGGAAGGGAACATGGCAAAAATAGTAGAGCAACAAATGTCATCGATGAATGTCACCTTGATGGAGAGGTATGTATAAAAGTATTTACAGAGACCAGTGTCTATTAAATGTGTCACTCCGTTTGCATCACCTCGAAATATTGATCGGAAATCCAAGTAGATTATATACATCCATGATCAGAATAAATGTATGTTGTCTCATCATGAAGATGGCCCGCTGGTGACATGAGAAGACACCCAGTATTCTGGCAGGTCTGATTATTGAAATGAAAGCCTCCGTTCTATGGTGGAGGGGACACCAAACAATATTTGCGTTGTTTTTTTTTTTTGGAATATTTGTTTCTGATAAGCCTGCCACGAAGTAACATGTAATGTTCGCAATGTCACCACCCATCAGTTTGCATTAGAACCTCGATCGGGATAGAATATTCAATATCAACATTTTATTCGAATATGTTGACGATTAATCACATTTGTTTTATTTTCAGGCAAGAGGAACTGGAAGGGAACGTGGCAAAAATAGTGGAGCAACAAATGTCATCGATGAATGTCACCTTGATGGAGAGGTATGTATAAAAGTATTTACAGAGACCAGTGTATATTAAATGTGTCACTCCGTTTGCATCATCTCGAAATATTGATCGAAGATCCAAATATGATCAGATTAAATGTATGTCGTCTCATCATGAAGATGGGCCGCTGGTGACATGAGAAGATACCCAGTATTCTGGCAGGTCTGATTATTGAAATGAAAGCCTCCGTTCTTTGGTGGAGGGGACACAAAAAAAATGCGTTGTTTTTATTTTTGTGGAATATTTGTTTCTGATAAGCCTGCCACGAAGTCAACATGTAATGTTCGCAATGTCACCACCCATCAGTTTGCATTAGAACCTCGATCGGGATAGAATATTCAATATCAACATTTTATTCGAATATGTTGACGATTAATCACATTTGTTTTATTTACAGGCAAGAGGAACAGGAAGGGAACGTGGCAAAAATAGTGCAGCAACAAATGTCATCGATGAATGTCACCTTGATGGAGAGGTATGTATGAAACTATTTTAAGAGACCAATGTACTTTAAGGGTTTAGGGGCACTAGGTGTACGTATATTTGACTATTCAGGCTTGAAGAACCATTTATACAATATTACAGTCAAAGCGTTGCTAAAATTCAGCCAAAGACTTCAAAATATTGAAAATTGTTCGGTAGCCTTATCTGGAAGCAGTATCAGAAAATGAAGTGGCATTTAATTTTTGATTTTGCTGAATCCCGGTTTGTTGTTTTTATAGAAAATTAACCATTTATTAGTGGGAAATGTATGGCATTGTCCGCCGATTTAATCATTTTTTGCAGGAAGTGGATATATATATATACCTAAGGGGGTCTCAGGTGAATATTTCGAGCTAATTACAAATAACCAGAACCTAGATAGTCTTCTTCGATTATAAAAGTTCGAATAGTGTCGGCAAAATAGTGGTGTTGCTAACTTAGACTCTGACTAGAATCCGATCTTAGTTAGACACTTTTTCTGGGATTCCTTGTGGTACTTATGGTAAATAAATTTTGGTTAAAACTTGACTCTGGAAGATCTACTTTTCTAACTTTTTCAAGAGTTAGTTCAAGCCGATATATTCTGAAAAGGTTGCTTGCCACTTACGATTGGGGACTTTGCAGGACATGGCAACAGATTATATATCTTACCTGGAGAACTGGCATAACTGTGCTCTACAGAAAATTGATTTACACAAATGGCGCCCAACATTATATTTGTCATCGATGACACAAAACAAAAAATGATATCACGCCTGTAGAACCAACATCAAATATTTTAAGCTATTAGAAACATGAAAATGTCTATGCTGTAGAGAAAAACAAATCCTTAAAATGCAGACTTATATAAATGGCGCCCAACATGACCAACTATTTTTATACCCTTCACCACACTGTGGTACAGGGTATTATGTCTTTGTGCATGTGTTTGTAACAGGCAAAAGGAAACGACATAGATCCATGGTCTCTTTTGAGAATATGCATAGAATCAGTTTCTGAATGGATTTATGCATGTCCGTCCGTCCGTCTGTTGGTATTAAATTGTAAACAAAGTACAGATCGCATTTATAATTCGATTTAAATGAAATTTGTCACAGCTCACTTATATGGACCAACGATGAACCCTAATGAAATTGGGGAAAATCGCTTCAAATTTAGATATACCTACCATATATGGTTTCGTCGGATTTTATGTAAATAGTGAACGAAAGTCCCAATATATCTCCCGATTTGTACGAAATTTGGCATATCGTACTGAAATGAGTCTTTTATCATGTGTGTTAAGTTTCGTGAAAATCGGTTCAAATTTAGATATACCTACCATAAATAGCTTCGTCTGATTTCAAGTAAAGGGTGCACTAGAGACCCACAGTTTGTCCGGCTGGCACACAATTTGTACAATCTACTGAAGTTAATAATAAATCAAACTGTGGCAAGTTTAGTTGAAATTGGTTCAGATTTAGAAATAGCTTTTATCCGATTTTAGGTAAATGGTGCACACAAATTCCTGGTATTGGTCGGATTGATACGAAATTTTGCACCACCAAAAATTGTTAAATAAATGAGTTTTTTCTCTTTTCTAATTTAATTTCAGAATTGATGATTTAACCCAAAGGTACGTGATATATGACCATATGGGAGATACACTAAACTAAACGATTTCTTCGAATTCCTTCGAACTCAATTTTCATGAACGTCTTCGGAATATTATTCGCAAGTACCAGGTCGTCCATTAAATTCCATGTCTATTTTATTTTGCAGGCAACAGGATCAGGAAAAGAGTATAAAACAAGTACTGGAGCACTTGTCCTGGATCAACAGAGACCACATGTATGTATGAAACAATTTACAAGCAATCACGCAAGTATCAATCGACTATGCCGATCCATGTATATCAACAGTCCCAGTAAAGGCTAACTGTATGACGCATAGATACTTGTATTGTTATGCTCATCTTTGGATTCAGACACCTTTATTTTCATACATTTTTACCATTCTATTCGCATACCCTTCACCACGCTGAACGGTACTGGATATGTCTTTGCTCCTATGTTTGTAGCAGACAAAAGGTAACGACTAGGAGCCATGGTTACCTTTGAGGATATATACAGAGAATCGTTTTTTGAGTCGAATTATGCATGTCCGTCCGTCTGTCCGTCGCACATAGTATTTGATGTTATCATATACGAATGGCAAAGAAATGATTATTTTGACTTGAACTTGACTCTGGAAAATTGCCAGACTATCTCGCTTTACCAAGAGGGAGTTAAAGGGGAGTTATTCAGAAATTATTGCTCGTCTCATGCCATTGAAAACTTCGCATGGCAGGGAAGTTAATCTGTTTCCCATTTTCGTTTCAATTGTTCGTCTGGTTTTTCGCCCATTTTTCAATGATCTGCAAGAATCAGCATGACATGCCTATGCCGTTTTCTAATGAAGCAACATTTATTTTTGATTTAATTTTCCTAGAAAACATATTGAGACTTTACGAAATTGGACAACAATTGTCAGGCGCATGAACGGCTATGTCAATTTTACCAGGAACTGGCGAGCCTATAAAGAGGGTTTCGGTAATCCACCTCACGGCGAATTCTTCATTGGCCTAGATAAATTGCATGAATTGACGACAGCCGTTCCAAACATCGAACTTAAAGTGATTTTAAGAGATTCGTATGGTGTGGAACGTTACGCCCTCTATGATGGCTTTAACATCGGAAATGAAGCCGAGAAATATCAACTCAAGGTACTGGGCAAATACAGTGGCACTGCTGGTGATTCCTTGGAATATCAGAAAGGTATGAAGTTTTCTACCTTCGATGAGGATAATGATAAAATAGATTATGGTAATTGTGCCGAGAGTTGGAAAGGGGCTTGGTGGTTTGATAGTTGTTCCCTGAGGTATAACAATCATTTTCGATTACATATTTTTTTGTTTTGTTTTGAATTTATTTTCGTAACATTTCTTTGCAGTCATCTATTTGGACCATATAAATATGGGGAGGATGAAACAGCAGGGGGCATTTTATGGTTTCATTGGAAAAATACGTATACTTATTCATTAAAATATGCCGAAATGCTCATTAGAGCAAAACCGGAATAATTATATATGTCTTAATGTATCTAATATTGAATATTTTAAATAAATAAATAAAAATATGACAATTTATTTTGACTTTCTCAGTCTACTTGCAAGAAAAACATATTTCCATTTTTCTATATATTTCGTAAGAAAAGATGAATTTTTTCAAGAATATTTTGATGTAATCAAAGTAATTGCAGCGGGGTATAAAATACTTCTGGCCCAAGGGGTTTAACGAATTCAAATCCAAATTTGTTACACGTTTGTTTTAGAATGGGGAATCCAAACAATGAAATTCACGTATGGAATTCAGGTACATTCAAAAAAAGTTCAAAAGTTCAAACAAAAAATTAAGTATACTTACTTAATTATACCCTTCACCACACTGTGGTACAGGGTATTATGTCTTTGTGCATATGTTTGTAACAGGCAAAAGGAAACGAGATAGACACATGGTTCCTTTTGAGAATATGCATAGAATCACTTTCTAAGTCGATTTATGCATGTCCGTCCGTCCGTCTGTCTGTCTGTCCATGTTAAATTGTAAACAAAGTACAGGTCGCATTTATGATCCGAATTGGATGAAATTTGGCATAGGTCACTTATTTGGCCCAAGGACGAACCCTATTGAAATTGGGAAAAATCGGTTCAGATTTAGATATAGCTCCCATATATATATTTAACCGATTTAATGTAAACGGTCCCTATATATCTTTCGATTTGCACGAAATTTAGTACATCCTAATCATTTAGGTCTAGAATGATGTCTGCCAAGTTTCGTGAAAATCGGTCCAGATTTAGATATAGCTCCCATATATAGTTTCGTCCGATTTCATGTAAATGGTGTCCCAAAGTCCCTATTTATCTTTTGATTTGCACGAAATTTGGCGTAACGTACTGAATTGAGTCTAGAACGATGTCTGCCAAGTTTCGTGAAAATCGGTCCAGATTTAGATATAGCTCCCATATATATTTTCGTCCGATTTCATGTAAATGGTGCCCCATAGTCCCCATATATCTTTCGATTTGCACGAAATTTGGCATAACGTACTGAATTGAGTATAGAACGATGTCTGCCAAGTTTCGTGAAAATCGCTCCAGATTTAGATATAGCTCCCATATATAGTTTCGCCCGATTTCATGTAAATGGTGCCCCATAGTCCCCATATATCTTACGATTTGCAAGAAATTTGGCATAACGTACTGAATTGAGTCTAGAACGCTGTCTGCCGAGTTTCGTGAAAATAGGTCAAGATTTAGATATAGCTCCCGATTTCATGTATATGGTGCACGAAATTTGGCATAACGTACTGAATTCAGCCCGATTTCATGTAAATGGTGCACGAAATTTGGCATAACGTACTGAATTGAGCCTGGAGTGATGTCTGCGTTGTTTCGTGAAAATCGGTCCAGATTTAGATATAGCTCCCCTTTTTTATGGATTGATTTTAAGTAATTGACGCACAAAGGAACCAATAGGAACAAAACTTTCTGAAATTAGTATAACCTAACCTGTGAAAAGTTTGTTTGAAATCGCTTAATATTTGGATAGAGCTTCCATATATATTTTCCGATTCCCGATTTCAAGTAAATTGGACATCAAACTCCTCATTTTAGTCATATTGACATCAAATTTTGCACAACGTACAAAATTGAGCATAGAATTAGTTGCGTTTTCTAGAAGTACAGACATAGCCCAACGGATGAACTATTTATATTTGTTTGAAGTCTATTTTACATACTTAATGGATAGATCTAGGTAGATTCACATTTAGATAAATACCACATATTTTATTTCATCCAATTTCATGTTAATAGTCCTGTTTAATATACCCATAGTGGTGAAGGGTATCATATAGTCGGCCCCGTCCGACTTTACTACTTTCCTTACTGGTTTTTTGTTTGTTTTAAATTTACATTGGCTATTGATATAAAAAAATCGACCTGTTTGCAGTTCGCTAGATATAACCATTTTCCCGCCCGGTCCGATAAATGGTATCAGCTGACAGCCCGTCATTTCTCCATCGCCACCCACCGATTTCATCATCCCTGAACGCCAAGAATTCCAGCGCTTTAGAGAACTTTCCATTCATTCTGATGCACTGGTAGCAGAAAGGCAGAAATTGCGGGACATCATTGCGGATGCAGCCGTTAAAATTATACCGAATACCAAAGATGAGACCTAATTTACCAGCAGAGGCTATTGGTCTAGCTCAGGGAACTCACGTTGGAAATCAGCAGATTCGTCGTGGAGCACACGCGAAATAAATGATTGGAACATCTGAAGAGTTGCAACATCGGTACCGGTGTCAGTTAACGGTGGGCAACGGTTAAATCGCTCTCAAACCCTGCTATGAAGAATGATGATAGGAACTTAGTCACATTAAACGACGAAACTTGGGCTGATTCGAAGAAATGTGCCAGATAGTTGTTGCATGCTTATTTAATTTAAATTAAATTCTATAACAATACCGGCAGCAACTTTCCGACTTGATATGCTTGCTTGCTGCCGGTCAGGAAAAAATGAGCCGGATACGGTAAGCTCCGAAGTGAGTTGCATATGAACAGTTGCCAAAACTGATAGCACAGTTAGTGGCGATAGTCACGTAACGTGCATCTATACAACTCTGGGAATGTGTAATAGGTTTGGGTGTACATCAAAATAAAATAAATAAACGTCGGAAAATGTGGCGAAAACGTAGAAAGGAGGGAAAATGTTGCGTGGTTTTGGCCATATAAAAAGAGGTCAAGCTAGAAAATCGCTATGGTTATTGGTGTTAGCTAGGCGTGTAAATTTTGGATTTTCCCCCAAAATAATATGAAGTCAAACTAAAAATAAGACAAATTATTTGCGATAATTTGTTGTAATTTTTATTCAATTTAGTGTTGTGGTGCATACACGAGCTTGTGCGTGTACAAATATGAAAGTGTTATTTATTGTTTTGTCAATACATTGTTTTGTTATGATGATTGTGAATTTTGGTGTTGAAACGTTATGTTCTTTTTCGTTATATTCAAGTGAACGCCAAAACTAAACTGCAAGATCGAAATAAATATACTATGCTTTTGGAAGAGGTCAGCGAAAATTCTGGGGAAACGAAGGAAGGCCCAAAGATCTGGGTGAGAAAATTTTTGCCAAGAATCCTCCAAGAATATTCCGTCTGCCATTCTGCTCCTTGGTCTACATAAAAAGAAATGGTGCATTCCTGTAAAGATTACAAAAAAAAAAACCAGTAAGGAAAGTAGTAAAGTCGGACGGGGCCGACTATATGATACCCTTCACCACTATGGGTATATTAAACAGGACTATTAACATGTAATTGGATGAAAAAAAGTAATATTTATCTAAATGTGAATCTACCTAGATCTATCCATAAAGTATGTTAATCGACTTCAAACAAATATAAATAAGTCCGTTGGGCTATGTCTGTACTTCTAGAAAACGCAACTACGTAATTGTATGCTCAATTTTGTGCGTTGTGCACAATTTGATGTCAATCTGACTAACATGAGGAGTCTGATGCCCAATTTACTTGAAATCGGTCGAAAATATATATGGAAGCTCTATCCAAATATTAAGCGATTTCAAACAAACTTGTCACAGGTTAGGTTATACTAATTTCAGAACGTTTTGTTTCTATTGGTTCCTTAGTACGTCAATTACTTAAAATCAATCTATAATAAAAGGGAGCTATATCTAAATCTGGACCGATTTTCACGAAACTTAGCATCATTTTAGGCTCAATTCAGTACGTTATGACAAATTTCGTGCAAATCGAAGGATATATAAGGACTTTGAGGCACTATTTACATGAAATCGGACGAAACTATATATGGGAGCTATATCTAAATCTGGACCGATTTTCACGAAACTTGGCAGACATCATTCTAGACCTAAATGATTAGGCTGTACCAAATTTCGTGCAAATCGAAAGATATATAGGGACTTTGGGGCACCATTTACATGAAATCGGTCAAAACTATATATGGGAGCTATATCTAAATCTGGACCGATTTTCTTGAAACTTGGCAGACATCACTCTAGGCTTAATTCAGTACGTTATGCCAAATTTCGTGCAAATCGAAAGATATATAGGGACTTTGGTGCACCATTTACATGAAATCGGACGAAACTATACATGGGAGCTATATCTAAATCTGGACCGATTTTCTCAAAACTTGGCAGACACCATTGTAGGCTCAATTAAGTACGTAATGCCACTTTTGGTGCAAATCGAAATATATATAAGGACTTTTGGGCACCATTTACCTGAAATCGGACGAAACTATATATGGGAGCTATATCTAAATCTGGACCGATTTTCTTGAAACTTGGCAGACATCACTCTAGGCTTAATTCAGTACGTTATGCCAAATTTCGTGCAAATCGAAAGATATATAGGGACTTTGGTGCACCATTTACATGAAATCGGACGAAACTATATATGGGAGCTATATCTAAATCTGGACCGATTTTCACGAAACTTGGCAGACATCATTCTAGGCTCAATTCAGTACGTTATGCCAAATTTCGTGCAAATCGAGAAATATATAGGGACTTTGGGGCACAATTTACATGAAATCGGACGAAACTATATATGGGAGCTATATCTAAATCTGGACCGATTTTCTTGAAACTTGGCAGACATCACTCTAGGCTTAATTCAGTACGTTATGCCAAATTTTATGCAAATCGAAGGATATATAGGGACTTTGGGGCACCATTTACATGAAATCGGACGAAACTATATATGGGAGCTATATCTAAATCTGGACCGATTTTCACGAAATTTGGCAGGCATCATTCTGGACCTAAATGATTAGGCTGTACCAAATTTCGTGCAAATCGAAAGATTTATAGGGACCGTTTACATTAAATCGGTTAAATATATATATGGGAGCTATATCTAAATCTGAACCGATTTTTCCCAATTTCAATAGGGTTCGTCCTTGGGCCAAATAAGTGACCTATGCCAAATTTCATCCAAATCGGATCATAAATGCGACCTGTACTTTGTTCACAAAAATACATGGACAGACAGACAGACGGACAGACGGACGGACATGCATAAATCGACTTAAAAAGTGATTCTATGCATATTCTCAAAAGGAACCATGTGTCTATCTCGTTTCCTTTTGCCTGTTACAAACATATGCACAAAGACATAATACCCTGTACCACAGAGTGGTGAAGGGTATAAACAACAACAACAAACATAATGAAACATAATTATGATTTTTCTTCTAAGAAAATCCGCTAAAACTTACTGTTTAATTTCCAATACATAATCAGAATGGCAATGGATTTTAAAACACTTATATTCGATATCGGTTGGATGTTGAGTCTCTCCAATGGGTATTGTTAGGTTATAGTCCTCATAGAGGCAAGGACGTTGTGCAAAATATTGTGTCAATCGACCCAAATTTGAATCTTTGGTGCAACATTTATTTAAAATCGGAAGAAAATATATATATGGGAGCTATATCTAAAACCGAACTGATTTCACCAAACCTGGACACATGTTAAATGTTATACAAACTTTAGTACTTTGTGCAAAATTGTGTGGCAATCGGCCTAACTAACTTTGGGTCTTAAAGTCGGACAATTTTCAGGAAACATTACACATCTCATTCTAGACTCAATTCAGTATGCTGTGTCAAATTTCGTGTAAAATTAAAATTATTCTGCGACTCAGGTATGCTGGCTGCATTTATTTATAGCAGAGTGAGGAGTCCTGAACAATGTCAAAAATATAGATTTCACTCCTCATCACAGTCAGAAACCCCCATTTGAGTTGAAACAGATTAGTGTTCGGACAAATCCGTATTTTATGGTAGTTGCAGCTTTGTCATTTAACTGTTCAACATTCGGTATATAACGGATCAAAAAAATTAACTTTAAACACTTGCCAAAAATTTGAACATGTCATGCCGATAATTGGGAGACAAACAATTTTCGAACAAGATTAACTTTATTCCACTGGGATTGAAAAAATTCATTTGTACACCCAATCATTTGTGTGTATACGTTGGAAAAAAAATGGAGAAAACTAAATTTATTAATAGAAAACAAGTGAAAAAGCGGTAAGTTCGGCCGGGCCGAACTTTGGATACCATCCACCATAGATATACTGATAGGTACTTGAAATGGAAATATAGGGAAAATACCAAAAAGTGTACCTATACCGACATTTCTACAAACCATAATACAAATTTCAAAAAATTTTAATGGATAATTATACCTTCAGCCTTATTACTAATGAGGGTGTATACACTTTGACACGGTCAAAATGTGCCTCATCGAAATATTGGTCCATTTCTTTGGACCAAATCCATTTCAGAAAATTTTGATTTCATCCACACTTTGCCCATCTTAGTATTTCTTCCAAACTTAGTTCAAGTTCGAAGATGTGGAATATCGGTCCACTCCTTCTGGACGTCCCACACAGGGGCTAGGCCTAGATCCAGGATATAGTTCATATATAGTACATTATCGAACCTTACGATCTATTCTATTTACTAATATTTATAATTTTTTGTGGATAGATTTGGTACATATTAAGAACTGAAAATACTACATTACAGCCAATTCGGTGGAAAAAATACCAAATCAAATTAGGAGGTACCGTTATATGAGGGCTACCAGCAAAAGTGGACCTATATTTATAATTTTTTGGGGAGAAATTTAATACCCAAGAAGAACCCAATGTAGCAAATTTCAGCGAAGTCGGTTGAAAAACGTGCTCAAGAACCCCAAAATACGGAAAATTGAGGGGCACCGTTATATGGGGGCTGTCCGAAAAAATTGACCTATATTTTTAATTTTTTTGTGGGAAGATTTGCTACACAATAAGAACTCAAAGTACCTAATTTCAGCGAATTCGGTTGAACAACAAGCTCAAGAACCTCAAAATACCGACAATTGGGGTGTACCCTTATATGGGAGCTATGCCTAAACGTGGACCGATATAGCCCATCTTCGAACATTTTGGGGCTCTATCTCAATTCGTTTAGACGCTAGATTGATTGCAACAGACAGACGGACATGCTTACATCGTCTTAGAATTTTACGCTGATCAAGAATTTATATGGGTCGGAAATGATTATTTTGATGCGTTACAAACGGAAAAGCAAAATTAATATACCCTCCATACTATGGTAGAGGGTATATAAAAAGAAAATTGTGTTGTCTTTATTTTTGCCGAATATTTGTTTCTCATCAAGATCAAGGTTTATTCATAAGGTTAAGGAGGAGGCGAAGTCAAAGTATTCATTGACATTCAAATGTATTGTTTGAAGAATTAATAGACAAAAAATATTTTTATTCGAAACAAAACATTCGTGTACATTCTTATCAATACGCTTTTTTGAAATATATTTGAAATTTGCATCCTGTTCGGCTTTGTATTTCGTGATTAAAAAGTTGACAGCAAGAGAAGACTAAGGCTTGCCGGTTAACCTTATGAATAAACATTGTTTCTGATAAGCCTGCCTGCCAAGAAGTCAACAAGCAATGTTCGAATTGCCGCAACTTATCAGTTTGTATCAGAACCTCGATCGGGACAGAATAGTCAAAATGAAAATCAAAGCAATTCTTTTATTCGTATTTATTGTATTACAAATAATAATCGGAAATAAGGCAGACGACAACATCGTTGCCTCAACCGTCAGTACCCTCCTCAAGAACGACACCACTATGGTCTCCAAAGACGACACAACCATTCCCGAAAATACCACTATCATCTCCGACGAAGACACCACTACCTCTGAAGAATATTATGTAATTATAATTCCAGAATCTAGAATTCGAAATATTTAAATAAAATTTAATTTACAATCAACATTTTAGAATCCCTATGAAGACGAATATCAACTGCTTCTGTGGAAGAATTTATTTCTAAAGGTGAATGACCTACTGGTGGAGTCGAAGAACATGAACAATGAAACGATGGAAATGCACAGCGAAACGAAGGAAATGCACAGCGAAATGACTAGAATGAATAGCGAAATCAATAAACTAAACTCCAATCGGTTGGATGTGACTCAAAAGTAAGTATTCGGAAATGAAAATTTAGTGAATAAAATTATGAATGCTCCCGATTTTATTCTTCTATTTTATTTCAGAATTGATGAATTGGCCAAAAGGTAAGGTACCCCACCCCGCAATAAAATTCCTTAGGACACTAAGGGTGTTCCCACCCACCTACTCTAAAATATGTTGACGATTAATAACATTTGTTTTATTTCCAGGCAAGAGGAACTGGAAGGTAACATGGCAAACATAGCGCAGCAAATATCATCGATGAAAGTCACCCTGATGGAGAGGTATGTATGAAAGTATTTGTAGAGACCAATGTATATTAAATGTGTTACTCCGTTTGATTCACCTCGAAATATTGATCCAATACATTATATGTGTGCATGATCAGAATACAATTCTATGTCAATACATGTCGTCTCCCATGGAAGAGTGTGTCATAAGAAGACACCCAGTATTCTGGCTGATTATTCTTCCACTGCGTATCACTTACATTCACAAAGAACACTGGTACTGCATAGTTAGCCACAGACTTCCTCATCGCTTTGTATGAGGTCAACAAGGTTTCCGTATCTGCACCCCAAGGGCTGCCGTCATGCGATTTGGTTCGATGTCATCCTATCGTAGATAGCTGTGGTTTGCCATTTAAAGACCACACATTTATAATTCGAACACCTGGGAATATTACAGGAATCGAATATCAATCCTCAAAATGCCTTAGGCATATTTATTTCAATTTAGGTTTGTTCGAATATCCTATGGAGTCTATTAATTAAACATTTTTATTTCCAGACAACGACAACAAGAAATCGATGTGAAGAATATACTACAGATCGTTTCGAATGTGAGTGCCACCATGAACGAGGAGGTCAGGAGGAGGTATGTATGAAATCATATAAATTATCAGTATAAATCGGTAGGGTCAGTACGGGTAAAGTGAATTGTGAATAGATTTAGATATACATATCTGCCATAAATGGGTATAACCGATTCCAAACTACTTCTGTTTTGTTGCAATCCGTTCATATTTAGATATAGTTGCCACATTTCTTTTCGACCGATTTTATGTTAATTATGCAGCTAATACTGACCAAAAGTGTGAATATAGTTCCTGATAAATATACAGTACCCGAAAGCCGCAACTCTTTTTGATTATAAATAAATGAGACACGACACCAGAGACCTTTCCTTTTGAGAGGTTATAAGACCCTGATTTTATTATTAAATATTTGTCCTTAGGTACTACTTAAACTACTCTTGCTTAGCCTAATCTCAAATACACACAATACTTATCAACCAGTAAGGAAAGTAGTAAACTCGGACTGGGCCGACTATATGAAACCCTTCGTCAATCGGCTTAGCTATGGATCTTTAGTGCACCATTTACCTTAAATCGAACGAAAATATATATGGGAGCTATATCTAAATCTGCACCGATTTTCACGAAACTCAGCTCACATCATTCTAAACTCAATTCAGTACTCTATGCCAAAATTCGTGCAAATCAAAAGATTTGCAGGGATTTTGGTGCACCATTTACCTAAAATCGGAGGAAATATATTTATGGGATCTATACCTAAATCTGAACAGGATTTCTCCAATTTCAATAGGGTTCATTCTTTGGCTAAATAAGTGACTTGTGCCAAATTTCATCCAAATCGGACTATAAATGGGGCCTGTACTTTGTTTACAATTTAACATCAACAGTCGGATAGACGGACGGACATGCATAAATCGGCTCAAAAAGTGATTCTATGCATATTCTCCTTTTGCCTGTTACAAACATATGCACAGAGCCGTAATACCCTGTACCACAGTGTGTTGAAGGGTATAATAAACTATTTGTTTTAATAATATAGTTTGTCTTATCAGAGTTCCATGTGGGAATTTAGGCTCTTATCGTAAAATATCCCAACGATCAAATCTTCTGTAATACATAATTCTGTTAAAAATATATTTCTCGGGTGATTTCATGCGAATAGTGCACCAATACTCGTAAGCAACGCCTGTCCGATGGAGATGACATTTCCCTCTAGGAAAATGATTGTTTTAAACTAACTTTAAACTAATTTTAAAGTCCTCACTACTAGTCCATATCGAAGAATGTGGGATATATTTAAACATGTATTAACATATCATTTTATTTTCACAGAAAACTGCATATGTCAGAAAAACTAAGCTATCCACACAACCTCAATCATCCAACAAAACTTAGTGCATATCCCGATCATACATTCCAAGTATATGGTTCAACCACAATTTAAATTGTACCAAATTTAGTACACAATAGTACGAATTTCCAATACTTCCTACTTAACCCAAACCCATATCCCCACAGGTATCCTAAATCCAAGTTGTAGAATTCCAAATATATCGGTTCATTCACAATTCAATTTATACCAAATTTAGTACAAAGTAGTACGAATTTCCAAAACTTCCTATTTAACCCAAACCTACATCCCCACAGTGATCTTAAATCCAAGTATCAGGATTCCAATTATATCAGTTTACCAACAATTGAAATTGTACCAAATTTAGTACACAATAGTACCTAATTCCTACACCCCCACAGTGATTTAAATCCATGTTTTAGGATTGCAATTCTAGCGGTTCAACCACAATTAAAACTGTACCAAATTTAGTACACAGTAGTTCGAATTTCCAAAACTTCCTATTTAACCCAAACCAAACCCCCACAGCGATCTTAAATCCAAGTTTAAGGATTCCAATTCAATCGGTCCACCCACAATTCAAAATGTACCAAATTTAGTACGCAGTAGTAAAAATTTTTAAAACTTGACTCCAAATTTCATGATTCTAGCTCTATTGGTTCGTCTAAAATTCAAATTGTACCAAATTTAATACCATTTAGTACCTATTAATATAAATTGCTTAAACGGAATCCTGACCCCAATCCTCCTACACCTCTACAGTGATCCTGACTCCAAATTTCATTGGTTTCGCCCCACCGGTTCATCCAAATCCAAATTGTACCAATTATTGTACGATTAAGTACTTTTCGTACACATCAGTAAAAAAAATTTCCAAAACTACGTACATACCCCATTAATACGCTCCGGCGGTAATTTTAATTTTATATTCCAGGATTCCAGCTGTACCTCCAAAATAAATTTGCACCAAATATAGTACCATATAGTACTTTTCTTATACATGAGTACACGATTTCAAAGCCACCCCTTTAAATCGACCCTACTTCTCAACCTGTTTTAAGCGCAATCCGTTCACATGCTACGAAATTGTACCAAATTTAGTACATTTTCGTACTTTTTGGATAGTAATAGTACGAATTTCCAAAAACCATTTGGTACATCCATCCTACACTCCACCTACGACCACCAATCCAAATTTCAGAGTTCTAGCTCTACCGGTTCGCCAAATACAAATGGTATCACATTTTGTACTATTTAGTACTTTTCTTACCGTTCTAGTACGAATTTCCAAAAACCCAGCCTTACCTGTCACATTTGGACCAAGAGTGACTCTCACCCAAAATTTCAAGATTCTAGCTTCAGAAGTTTCGTCTGTGCGCTGATGAATCGTTAAGTCAGTCAGTCAATCACTTTACCCTCCTATTAGTATAGAGTTTCCTTTGGACCAACTGACACCAAAGTCCCTATATATCTTTCGATTTGCAAGAAATTTGGCACTGGGTACTGAATTAGGTCCAGAATGATATTTGCTAAGATTCGTGAAAATCGGTTCCGATTTAGATATAGCTCCCATATATATTTTCGTCCAATTTAATGTAAATTGGTGCACACAAAGTTTCGCCGACCGGCACACAAGTTTGTACAATGTACAGAAGTTACTATAATTGAATGTTTTGTACCTCGAAGCATTTCTGACAACCTCTTTTATACATTTGTTCGCTGAGGACATTGTGGCTTTCAGAAATGTTGTGGTTTTTCTGTATTTGTATTAAGACTTGATGCTGTTCTGCATGTTCATGGGGATTTACGTGCCTTTGAAATGCAGCATACCGAATAGTTTTCCTCAGTTTCCTCAAATCCGTCCAGATTCACATAATTTTGTAAGATCCATATAGATGTTAAATCAATCTGATTGAAATGAAATTTTGACTAGTTTGGCAAATGACATGTGTATGGATTGATTGATGTCGGTTCACCGATCACATTTTCCATTATCATTCGCTGTCAAGAATCTGCATCATTTCGGAGTTGTCTGCTAATCGAAGTTGGGTTTCAAATTGTTTTTTTTTTCTAGAAAAAACCTTGACACTTTACGAAATTGGACAACAATTGCCAGACGCATGGACGGCTCTGTCGATTTTTACCGTGGTTGGAATGAGTATAAAGTTGGTTTCGGTAATCCACCTCACATCGAATTCTTTATTGGCCTAGACAGATTGCATGAATTGACGACAGCCGTTCCAAACATCGAACTTAAAGTGATTTTAAGAGATTGGGAGGGTGAGGAACGTTATGCACTCTATGATGGCTTCCAAATCGGAAATGAAGCCGAGAAATATGAACTCAAGGTACTAGGCAAATACAGTGGCACTGCTGGTGATTCCTTAGCATATCACAAAGGTATGAAGTTTACTACGTTCGATGAGGATAATGATAACGCAAATAGTAATTGTGCCAAGGTTTGGAAAGGGGCTTGGTGGTTCGGTAACTGTTCGTACAGGTATAACAATCATTTTCAATTACATATTATTTTTTGTTTTTCAATTTATTTTCGTAATTTGTCTTTACAGTCGTCTATTTGGACCATATAGAAAAGGAGAGAATATAAATTCAGATGGCATTGCATGGTTTCATTGGAAAAATACTTATCAATATTCATTTAAATATGTCGAAATGCTCATTAGAGCAAAACCGGCATAAATATATATTTTTTTTAATGTTTCTAATATAGAATATTTTAAATAAATAAAAATATGACAATTTATTTTGACTTTCTTAGTCTGCTTGCAAAAAAAAATTTTCCATTTTTTATTTATTTCGTAAGAAAATATGAATCTATTCACGAATATTTTAATGTCATCAAAGTAATTATAGCGGGGTATAATGCACTTCTGGCCCGGGGGATTTACCAAATTCAGATCCAAATTTCTTGCAGTTTTATTTTAGATTGGGGAAGCCAAATAATGATAATCACCTATGGAATGCATGCATTTTCTAAAAAGAAATTGAGGTAAGTATACTTGAATATCTACAATTATATGGGAATGTAATGGCCATAGAAAATTACTTTATTTGCCAACTTACGACTTTGTCGTATCAAATTTGCCAATTTATCTCGTTGCCTCTGAAAAACAACAACTTTTGTTTTTTTTTAATTAATTAAATTAATTCGAACGGTTAGATACACCCACACACACATATATATTAACTGAACTGAAATTGAAAATATTCAAACTTGTTTCATTTCAAATTTTTTTTCTAGCCAGGGTAGGGCTACCCCATGTCTGAGTCATTCATAATCCAGACCGACAGCAAGACAGCCAGACAGATCATTCATAATAAAAAAAACAAGTGAATAAGCGGTAAGTTCGGCCGGGCCGAACTTTGGATACCCTCCACCATAGTTATATTGACAGGTACTATAAATGAAAATATAGGAAACATACCAAAAAGTGGACCTATACCGACATTTCTAAAAACGGATTATGTAAACCATAATACAAATTTTCGAAATTTTTAAAGGATAATTATACCCTCAGCCTTATGGCTAATGAGGGTGTATACACTTTAACACGATGCAAATGTGCCTCATCGAAATTTGGACCAAATCCGTTTCAGAAAATTTAGATTTCATCCGAAGTTTGCCCATCTTATTATTTCTTCCAAGCTTAGTTCAAATTCGAAGATGGGGAATATCGGTCCACTCCTTCTGGAACCTCCAATCAGGGGCTAGGTCTAAATGCGGCTATAGTTCACTACCGAACCTTACGTTCTAATTTTTTATCTCTCTATCCTCCGCAGTTGAAATGATTACAAAAGGGCCTTAGAACCAAACCCAAAACGCGCAACAAATCAGATAACTATTTTAATATAAAAAAGGGGGTTATATGGGGACTACCCCAAAAAGAGGGCGAATATTAATAATTTTTGGTAGGGAGATTTGTTACCATATACGACTACAAAATTCCAAATTGCAGCAAATTCGGTTGAAAAACGCGCTCAAGAACCCAAAATACCGAAAATTTGGGGTACCCTTATATGGGGGCTATCCGAAAAAATTGACCTATATTTATAATTTTTTGTGGAGAGATTTTGTACCTATTAAGAACCCAATGTATTAAATTTCAGCGTATTCGGTAGAAAAACGCGCTCAAGAACCCCAAAATACCGAAAATTGGGGGTACCCTTATATGGGGGCTATCCGAAAAAATGTACCTATATACATAACTTTTTTGTAGAGAGATTTGGTACCTATTAAGAACTCAAAATACTAAATTACAGCCAATTCGATGGAAAAATACGATCAAAACCCCCAAAATACTGAAAATTAGGAGGTACCGTTATATGGGGGCTACCAGAAAAAGTGCACCTATATTTATAATTTTTTGTGGAGACATTTAGTACCCAATAAGAACTCAATGTACCAATTTTCAGCGTATTCGGTTGAAAAACGAGATCAAGAACCCCAAAATACCGAAAATTGGAAGGTACTGTTATATGGGAGCTATACCTAAACGTGGACCGATATATCCCATCTTCGAACTTGACCTGCCTGCAGACAAAAGACAACCCTATGCAAAATTTCAGCATCCTATCTCAATTCCTTCAGAAGATAGCGTGATTACAACAGACGGACGGACAGACGGACAGACGGACGGACATGGCTAGATCGTCTTAGAATTTTACCCTGATCAAGAATATATATACTTTATAGGGTCGGAAATGAATATTTCGATGAGTTACAAACGGAATGACAAAATTAATATACCCTCCATACTATGGTGGAGGGTATAAAAATATGAAATTGAGGAAAAATAAGAAAACATGTTTGGTTAGATTCCAATAGAGATTAGATTGTGTGGCATTTTTATACCCTTCACCACACTGTGGTACAGGGTATTATGACTTTGTGCATATGTTTGTAACAGGCAAAAAGGAAACGAGATAGACACAGGGTTCGTTTTGAGAATATGCATAGAAATTTGGCACAGCTCATTCATTTGACCCAAGGACAAACCCTATTGAAATTGGGAAAAATCGTCCGATTTTAGGTAAATAGTGCACCAAAGTTGCACGAAATTTGGCATAGTGTGTTGAATTAAGTCTAGAATGATGTGTGTTTAATTTCGTGAAAATCGTTTCAGATTTAGATATAGCTCCCAAATATATTTTCATCCGATTTAAGGTAAATGGTGCACCAAAGTCCCTGGAAATCTTTTCATTTGCACGAAATTTGGCATAGCGTACTGAATTAAGTTTAGAAATATGTGGTTGAATTTCGTGAAAATCGTTTCAGATTTAGATATAGCTCCCATATATATTTTTGTCCGATTTTATGTAAATGGTGCACCAAAGTCCCTATACATCTTTCGATTTGCACGAAATTTGGCATAGCGTACTGAATTAAGTCAAGAAGTATGTGTGTTGAATTTTATGAAAATCGGTTCAGATTTACATATAGCTCCCATATATATATATATATATATATATATTTTCATCTGATTTTAGGTAACTGGTGCACCATTCGTTCATCTTTAAAAAAATGTTTTTTTTTAATAAAATTATTTTTTTTTACTTTTATTTATTTATTTTGTTGTCGTTGTTTTTTTGTCCTACATAACAGAAAACTTAACAGCACATACAGATACACATCGAATATGTAATTCACAATCTTTGGTTATTGCTGGGGTTGATGGGGAAATGAGCGAGACAGGGGGCGGGCGGCCATAGTCAGCTCTAAATAAAATTGCTCTCATTTTCGCATACCAATGTGGGACAGCAAGCGGGATATGGTTGACGTGGATCACGGCCAATGCTGCAGGTGGCATTGGGAACTAGATTATGGCGACCACAGCTTGAAAAGGAAATAATTTATTTATTTATTTTTTTTAATTAAAATAATTTCAATTTTTGCGTTTGGCTACTCACTATTCCATGACCAAAACATAATCCGAACGGCAAAAGATACGCTCACAATGATCCTCCAAATTGATGGGTGAGAAGGATTGATTTTTGGGAATGGGTTGTTTTAGATCTTCGTAATAACACTGGTTGGGATAGTCTAGTACAGGGTAATAACAAACAACAATAACAACAACTTGTTAAAAAATTGTTGTTTTTTTGTAATATTTTACCTGGATGCACAGCATTGCCACGATAGCGAACATCTGCCACAGCATTAACAATTAACACGGCAACAACAACAAAGGTGTTAAGGAATTTCATGTTTGTTTTTTTTTGAATTTATAATTTTTTTTTTTTTTGTATTTAAAAAAAAAATCCACAACAACTTTAAGAATTTATAAAAATAAAACGTTTAATTTTTTTGCTCTCCTCCGATCTTCTTTATGCCACTTACAATGGACGACTGTTGTAGATTGAATTAATTTTTGTTGCTTTTATATAAAATTAATTACTTGCCCAGTTATCCAGTCAACAACAACAACAATAAAATAAATAAAACAACAACAACAGAAACCCACATAGATATACATAGTATGTACGTCATTTCAATTCACTGCTACTGTGGGGAATATTCGTTTTTGTTGTTGCTGCTGTTCTGACAATTACTTGGCTGTCTACTTAAATCAATGAAGTGGGTACTACTGCATTTCTAAGATAGCTGGAAACTTTGTTTGGGGTTAGATTTGAACAAGCAGGGAATCATGTGTAGTGACTCATAACCTTGAAAAAGAAAATGTGTAAAATTTCTTGAAAATCGGTTCAGATTTAGATATAGCTCCCATATATATTTTCATTCGATTTTTAAGTAAATGGTGCACCAACGACCCTATGTATTCTTCGAATTGCACGAAATTTGGCATATCGTAATGAATTAAGTCTAGAATGATGTGTGTTAAAAATCGTGAAAATCGGTTCAGATTTAGATATAGATAGCTCCCATATATATTTCCATGCGATTTTATGTAAATGGTGCACCAAAGACCCTATATATTCTTCGATTTGCACGAAATTTGGCACAGCGTACTGAATTGTGTCTAGAATAACGTGTGTCAAGTTTCGTGAAAATCGGTTCAGATTTAGATATAGCTCCCATATATATTTTCATCCGATTTTAGGTAAATAGTGCACCAAAGTCTCTATATATCATTCGATGTGCGCGAAATTTGGCACAGCGTACTGAATTCAGTTAAGAATGATGTTTGCAAAAATTCGTGAAAATCGGTTCAGATTTAGATATAGCTCCCATATATATTTTCATTCGATTTATAGCTCCCATATATATTTTCATCCGATTTTAGGTAATTGGTGCACCAAAGTCTCTATATATCATTCGATTTGCACGAAATTTGGCATAGGGTAATGAATAAGGTCTAGAATGATGTGTGTCAAGTTTCCTAAAAATCGGTTAAAATTTAGATATAGCTCCCATATATAGTTTCATCCGATTTTATGTAAATGGTCCCTATATATTCTTCGATTTGCACGAAATTTGACACAGCGTACTGAATTGAGTCCAGACTGATGTGTGTTAAATTTCGTGAAAATCGGTTCAAATTTAGATATAGCTCCCATATATATTTTCACCCGATTTTATGTAAATGGTGCACTATATATTCTTCGATTTGCACGAAATTTGGCACAGCGTACTGAAATGAGTCTAGAATGATGTGTGCAAAGTTTCGAGGAAATCGGTCCATATTTAGATATAGCTCACATATATATTTTCATCCGATTTTATGTAAATGGCCCCTATATATCATTCGATTTGCACAAAATTTTGCACAGCGTACTGAATTAAATCTAGAATGATGTGTGCAAAGTTTCGAGGAAATCGGTCCATATTTAGATATAGCTCCCATATATATTTTCATCCGATTTAATGTAAATGGTGTACCAAAGTCCCTATATATCATTCGATTTGCACGAAATTTGGCACAGCGTACTGAATTGAGTCTAGAATGATGTGTGCTAAGTTTCGTGAAAATCGGTTCAGATTTAGATATAGCTCCCATATATATTTTCATCCGATTTTATGTATGTTTATTGGCACAGCGTACTGAATTGAGTCTAGAATGATGTGTGGTAAGTTTTGGGAAAATCGGTTCAAATTTAGATATAGCTCCCACATATATTTCAGTCCGATTTTATGTAAATGGTGCACCATAGACCCTATATATCATCCGATTTACACGAAATTTGGCACAGCGTACTGAATTAAGTCTAGAATGATGTGTGTTAAGTTTCGTGAAAATCGCTTCAAATTTAGATATAGCTCCCATATATAGTTTCGTCCGACTCAAGGTAATTGGTGCACCAAAGACCCTATATATATTCTTCGATTTGCACGAAATTTGGCACAGCGTACTGGATTGAGTCTAGAATGATGTGTGCATAGTTTCGTGAAAATCGATTCAAATTTAGATATAGCTCCCATATATATTGTCATCCGATTTTATGCAAATAGTACGCCAAAGACCCTATATATTCTTCGATTTGCACGGTATTCTTTTTCAAGGTATTCTTGAAGGTGTGATTTTTTATAAATATTTAATTAATAATACATGTTGCAAGAGCTCTCTAATAATTTTCAATTAGTGCCACTTCAAAATCAATAACTTTTAACGGTTGTTGACTTTTTAACTAAACGAAAAAGAAACAACAAAAACTAAAATTATATTTTTTTTAAAGAGCTAGCAAAAAAAAAACGGAAATAAAATTTTTGTGCGGGGTAAATATGTGTCATCCAACACAAAATTGGTAATTCCGTCAAGCAGGTTATTGTCGTATAAAAAAAAAACTAAATCACTATGTTTTTAATAAACACTAAAAAAACCGATCATATGGGTTCTCCTTAAAAAAATAATAAAGAGATTTTTGAGGTTTTCTTTTTTTTTTTGCATTTATCACTGCCTAAAAATTCCAATCCAAATATTTAAAACTAAAATCACTTTAAATCAACTCACCTTGCAATTGTAAGATTTCAGTAACGTGTTTTATTTAATTATTTAAATCACAAAAAAATTAAAGTAAATCTTTAAATCAACTCCCAGCCAGTTGTTTACACTGTACTTAAGAGCTAAGGACAACAGAGAAGCAATGTTTCTATTTGCATACGATTTTTATTCTCAAGCTAAAGAAGGTCATTAATATGCATATACAAAATAAAATTGAAGTTCTAAAAATTGCAAAAAATTACAAAATTTTCGAAAATATTTTTTATACAGTAAGGAAAGTAGTAAAGTCGGACTGGGCCGACTATATGATACCCTTCACCACTTTGGATATTTTGTACATATGTATCCATACAATAACGAAATCTGAATCGATTTTTACAAAACTTAGCACACATCATTCTGGACTTAAGTAGTACGCTATGACAAATTTCTTGCAAATCGAATGATTTTCAGAGACTTTGGTGCACCATTTACATTAAATCGGCCGAACATCTATATGGGAGCTATATCTAAATCTGAACCGATTTTCATGAAACTTTGCACACATTATTCTGGATATAATTCAGTACTCCATGCTAAATTTCGTGCAAATCGAAGGGTATTTAGGGACTTTGGTGCACCATTTACCTTAAATCGGACGAAGATATATATGGGAGCTATATCTAAATCTGAAGCGATTTTTATGAAACTTAACACACATTATTTTAGACGCAATTCAGCACGCTATGCCAAATTTCGTGCAAATCGAAGGACTTTTGTGCGCTATTTACCTAAAATCGCCCGAACATATATATGGGAGCTATATCTAAATCTGAACCGATTTTCACGAAACTTAACACACATCATTCTAGACCTAATTCATTACGCTATGCCAAATTTCGTGCAAATCGAAATATATATAGGGTCTTTGGTGCACCATTTACATAAAATCAGATGAAAATATATATGGGAGCTATATCTAAATCAGAACCGATTTCACGAAACTTAACACACATCATTCTGGGCTTAATTCAGTACGCTATACCAAATTTCGTGCAAATCGAAAGATATTTAGGGAATTTGGTGCACCATTTACCTAAAATCGGACGAAGATATATATGGGAGCTATATCAAAATCTGAACCGATTTTCACGAAACTTAGCACACATCATTCTAGACTTAATTCAGTACGCTGTGCGAAGTTTCGTGCAAATCGAAAGATATATAGGGACTTTTGTGCACCATTTATCTAAAATCGGACGAAAATATATATGGGAGCTATATCTAAATCTGAACCAATTTTCACGAAACTTAGCACACATTATTATAGACGCAATTCAGTACGCTATGCCAAATTTCATGCAATTCGAAGGATATATAGGGACTTTGATGCACTAATTATCTTAAATGGGGCGAAGCTTTATATGGGAGCTATATCTAAATTTGAACCGATTTTCTTTCATTTCAATAGGGTTCGTCCTTGAGCCAAATAAATGAGCTGTGCCAAATTTCACCCAATTTGGATTATAAATGCCACCTGGACTTTGTTTACAATTTAACAAGGTCAGACGGAGGGAAGGACGGACGTGCATAAATCGTCTCAGAAAGTGATTCTGTGCATATTCTCGAAAGGGCCTATGGGTCTATCTCGTTTCCTTTTGCCTGTTACAAACATATGCACAAAGACATAGTACCCTGTATCACAGTGTGGTGAATGGTATAAAAATCCACGCCTTCCAGAAGATCTCGATAAAATATTTTTTGAACCAGTGAGCGGAGCAGTATAGTCGGACGGGGCCGACCATACGCTACCCTACACAACTTCCATGAAAATCTAAATTTCTGTGGTTCTATATTCTGAGATTGGGCAATATTTCGCGATATTTGCACACTTTTGACTGACTAGTGGTCAGCAAATGTTACTAATAATCAGTACAGCCCCTCTACATACTTGTCCAGATTCCCTTCACAGTGGCTTGTGTTGTGATGTTCGGCTTCGACTCAAAAAGTACAAATAATTAAGTTTTCGGTCCACTTCATCCGAAAAATTATTATTTGATCATCACCTTAACATTTTAGGCGTTGTCCTTGACCATAACTGGAACCTCATGGAACATTTCAAAGCGATCCGCGCTATATTTCCGACCTCCAGTGTGGTAATAGGTTATTAAATAATATCTGAATACGTAAGCACTTGTAAATATTTAAGTGTAACTCCCGCATCCGAGTACCTACGACAATATAATTGGTATCAATTAAAAGATCAACCACTCCTCTTGGATATACTACCGGTTAAATATTGACCGATTTTTATCAAAACAGGCATGCTTATTCTCTGGCCCAATCCTCTTTTCCATGCAAAAATTCGCGGTGTTTGGGCCATAATTGCGGTCTCTGGAGCGACCAGAAAAACCAACAAAAATAAAGTTTTTGGTCCATTTTATCGCCTAAATACTTAACGGTCTTTTCCAAAAAACAATAGGGGTCTTCATTGGCCAGAACCCATCCTACATGCAAAATTGAAGTGAAGATTGGTCCATAACTGTGGCCTGTATCGTGTTTACAAATTATAATGGACAGACGGACGGACGGACGGACACACATGTCTAGATCGTCTCATCTAGTCAAGATATGACGATCGTTATACTTAAAGGTGGGTCTAGGACCAATATTTCGCGGCGTTACAAACTCTTGGGGCTGCACAAAGCTATAATACCCTGACAATAGAGTTGTGTAGGGTATAAAAATACCAAGCCTTTGTTGGAACCTCAAATAAATCTTCATTCTTTGGTATTTTAATCACTTATTTCTTGTTGAAAAATATATTATTTTCAAACACTCCATTTATGTAATTTTTATTATTTAATTTTTTTTTTTATTTTAACACTTGACACAGCATGCCGGAAAGACACCCTCATAGCGTTTTTTGTTGGCACAGGTAACTGGGAATTTTTGGCAACTAAAATAATACCAAAAAAATATTTATTTTCAAATCTCACACACACTGAGACAAAACTACTTACTCGTCCACCACCGTTTGGAAGGTATCCGTACAGGTTGCCTTCTTCAGGCACTTGCCATCGCTGCCAAAGTCCACGTATTCCTCACCACGTTTGGAATAGGGTAAATATTTCAAGAAGATGGTATCATCTTGAGAATTTTTATAGGCACAAACGGGTTCGGTGACAGCTCCGATTTCTATGAAATCACAAAAAAAAAAAATTATTTTTTTTTTCACTGGCGAAGTATATTTGAATATGGTTGTCAGTGGCCTCCCTCACCCGGTAACTGGTGTAGAAAAACGCCAACCAAAAACAATAGCAAGGCGTAACAAATTTTCATTTTTTTTTTTTTGGGATTTTAGAATTAATTTCTTCAAATAGCTGTTCAAAACTAAGACGAAGCTGGTTAGGTAATTTGCTTATATAGCCTCAATTGTTTTTTCTTCACCATCTGCCGCTAAGAAAAAATAGAATGTTCCTTAGAAGGGGCTGAGAGGTAAGTGAATTTTGCAATGCATTTGCTAGTCGGAATATTTGTTGTCTTTTTGTTGTTAATTAAGATTAATAACAATAACAAAACTCACATAAGCTAATTAAAAGATGCTGATATTAAAAAAAATGAAAACTAAACAAAAATTAAATTGCAAAAAAACAAAACACACACTCACACTCTGATGAGTACTGACGATTAAACTGAACTTGAACATTTTGTACACACACACATAGGCCTCTCAATTAGATTTAATTATTCTCTTCATAATTTCAAAACCGATTCAATGGCAAAGAATTTTAAAAACTACGCTCTGTATCTCTAGCTCTCTCTCTCTCAAACTTCCAAAATCTAAAATGAAACCAGTGAGCGGAGCAGTATATTCGGACGGGGCCGACCATATGATACCCTACACAACTTACACGTATATCTAATTTTCTGTGGTTTTATATTTTGAGCTTCGGAAATTTTTGGCGATATTTGCACCGTCTTGACTAGACTAGACTAGAGGTCTAATATTCAGTACAAATATTTGTCCAGATTCACTTCATCCGAATATTATTATCTGATCATCATCGAAAATTATAGTCGTTGTCCTTGACAACACCTGGTTCCTCATGGAAAATGTCAAAGCGATCAGCGCTATATTTCCACTCTCTAGTGTGGAAATGGGTTACTAAATACTTAAGTGTAACTACGATACGATTAAGTATAAATACGATACGATAGTATATACAATATATAGTACATACGACAATATAATAGGTATCAATTTAAAGGTCAACCGCTCCTCTTAAATATACTATCAACTTCTCGGCTCTATGTCCTTCAGGAGTAAATATATATGCTAGAGAATACAAATTTTGTCAGTTTTCACACAAAAGTCAGGGTCCATTTGATCCGCTTAATATTGATCGATCTTTATCAAAACAGCCATGCTTATTGTTTGGCCCGATTCTCCTCTCTATGTAAAACTTCGCGAATTTCAGGCCATAATTGCGGCCTCTGGAGCGACCAGAAAAACACGACAGAGGGGTCTACGATCCGAAACGACCCGAGTCTTACTCGGCCAACGTCTGTCACCTCAGCCCATTGTGTAAAAGCAATAGGGCTGCTACAACAACAACAACCAGAAAAACAGACAAAAATAAAGTTTTTGGTCCATTTCATTCCTTAAATATTACCCGATCTTTATAAAAACAAGTGAAAAAGCGGTAAGTTCGGCCGGGCCGAACTTTGGATACCCTCCACCATAGATATATTGACTGGTACTAGAAATGAAAATATAGGGAACATACCAAAAAGTGGACCTATACCGACATTTGTAACAAATTCGATAGAAAAACGCGCTCAAGAACCCCAAAAAACCGAAAATTGGGGGGTACCCGTATTGGGGGGTACCCGTATAATTTTTTGTGGAGAGATTTTGTTCCTATTAAGAACCCAATGTATTAAATTTCAGCGAATTCGGTGGAAAAACGCGCTCAATAACCCCAAAATACTGAATATTAGGAGGTACCGTTACACGGGGGCTACCAGAAAAAGTGGACCTATATTTATAATTTTTTGTAGAGACATTTAGTACCCAATAATAACACAATGTACCAAATTTCAGCGAATTCGGTTGAAAAACGCGCTCAAGAACCCCAAAATTCCGAAAATTGGGGGGTACCCTTATATGGGAGCTATGCCTAAACGTGGACCGATATATCCCATCTTCGAACTTGACCTGCCTGCAGACAAAAGACAACCCTATGCAAAATTTCAGCACCCTATCTCAATTCCTTCGGAATATAGCGTGATTACAACAGACGGACGGACGGACATGGCTAGATCATCTTAGAATTTTACCCTGATCAAGAATATATATACTTTATAGGGTCGGAAATGAATATTTCGATGTGTTACAAACGGAATGACAAAATTAATATACCCTCCATACTATGGTTGAGGGTATAATTATGGATTTAATGTTTTAAAAATATTTTTTTTGTCTACACCTAAATATAGGCGTTGTTTTTTTAGATATAGCTCCCATATATATTTTCGTCCGATTTTATATAAATGGTGCACCAAAGTCCCTATATATTTTGCGATTTGCACGAAATTTCGCACAGCGTACTGAATTAAGTCTAGAGTGATGTGTGCAAAGTTTCGTGAAAATCGGTTCAGATTTAGATATAGGTCCCATATATATTTTCGTCCGATTTTATGTAAATGGTGCACTAAAGTCCCTATATATTTTCCGATTTGCACAAAATTTGTCATAGCGTACTGAATTAAGCCTAGAATGATGTGTATTACGTTTCGTGAAAATCGGTTCAGATTTAAATATAGCTCCCACATATATTTTCGTCCGATTTAAGGTAAACGGGGCACAAAAGTCCCTAAATATCGTTCGATATGCACGAAATTTAGCATAGCCTTCCAAATTAAGCCTACAATGATGTGTGCTAAGTTTCGTGAAAATCGCTTCAGATTTAGATATAGCTCCCATATATATTTTCGTCCGATTTAAGGTAAATGGTGCACCAAAGTCCCTATATATCCTTCGATTTGCACGAAATTTGGCATAGCGTACTAAATTAAGTCTAGAGTGATGTGTGTAAAATTTCGTGAAAATCGCTTCAGATTTAGATATAGTTCCCATATATATTTTCGACCGATTTTATGTAAATAGTGCACCAAAATCCCTATATATTCTTCGATTTACACGAAATTTGGCAAAGCGTACTGAATTGAGTCTAAAATGATGTATGGTTAATTTCATGAAAATCGGTTCAGATTTAGATATAGCTCCCATATATATTTTCGTCCGATTTAAGGTAAATGGTGCACCAAAGTCCCTATATATCCTTCGATTTGCACGAAATTTGGCACAGCGTACTAAATTAAGTCTAGAGTGATGTGTGTAAAATTTCGTGAAAATCGCTTCAGATTTAGATATAGTTCCCATATATATTTTCGACCGATTTTATGTAAATAGTGCACCAAAATCCCTATATATTCTTCGATTTACACGAAATTTGGCACAGCGTACTGAATTGAGTCTAAAATGATGTATGGTTAATTTCATGAAAATCGGTTCAGATTTAGATATAGCTCCCATATATATTTTCGTCCGATTTTATGTAAATGGTGCACTAAAGTCCCTATATATCATTCGATTTGCACGAAATTTGGCATAGCGTACTGAGTTAAGCCTACAATGATGTGTGCTAAGTTTCGTGAAAATCGGTTCAGACTAAGATATAGCTCCCATATATATATATATATTTGTCCGATTTAAGGTAAACGGGGCATCAAAGTCCCTAAATAGTTTTCGATTTGCACGAAATTTGGCACAGCGTAATGAATAAGCTCTAGAATGGTGTGTTTTAAGTTTCGTGAAAATCGGTTCAGATTTAGATATAGCTCCCATATATAGTTTCGTCCGATTTTACGTAAAGAGTGCATTAAAGTCCCTATAGGTTATCATATAGTCGGCCCAGTCCGACCTTAGTACTTTCCTTACTGGTTTAAAAATATTTTTTCGAGGATTTTCTTTTTCCTTAATTTTATTTACAACAACAACAACAATTATTAAAAAAAATAAATATTGATTCGTTTTTATTTTATCAGCTCATTTTCTGGGACGGATTTTCATTTCAACAAATTTCATGGAATAATTAAAACCCTTCCATGTGGCCCAGAGGATTTTTTGCATTTCCGTGGATTCACCACCCTGACGGTACACCGAATTCAAGTTGCTAAATTTTGAAATGGAAGAGAAAGGGGGGAGGAGGTAAATGATTAATATAATCGATTATCATCGATCTCCATCTACAAACTCACCTATCCACACACTGATTAAACCACCAACCACCACCATAATTCCGCGGACATAAACCCGAATTGGAATGATCCAATGTAGAGAATTTCATACCCTTATGATAGGCCATTGCATCACCGGCCGTACCACTATACTCACCCAGTTCCCTGAGGGCATACTCCTCGGCTTCACTGCCAATCACAAAATGATCATAACGGGCATAACGTTCTTCATTTTCCCAATCGCGTAGCGTAATCATTAACTCCTGTGGTCCTTCGTTCGTGGTCAGCTGATGCAGCCTTTCCAAGCCGATAAAGAATTCACCATCGGGTGATTGACCAAAACCATTACGATAATCATACCAATCACGTTGGAAATTTTCCGAACCATCCTGACGACGTAGAATTACCGTCCATTCGTGTCGGGGTGCTGAGGTGGCGGTGGGAGAAGGCGTCTTTGAATGTTTACGCATAACTTGTGCGGCGGGACATTTGTGGGCCGCCGATTTGGTCAATTTTAATATATTCGATATTTCACCAGACTGATGGGATTGACTGGAAAGCAAGGAAGAAAGGATGAGGGTGGGTGGAAGATAAATAGATGGTGAATTTTAGTGCTATACGAAAGAGCGAAGTACAGCTACATACCTATCTCTCATCTCCTGTATAAGCTGCCTTAGGGTATCAGTTTCATCGAGCAGTCGATTGAGTTTCGAATAGAGTATACGCCACAGTTCGGTATTATTGTCTTCGGGAATGGGATCCTGTTTTAGCGAAAAAAAATATTCGAAATTTAGATTACTCCGAAAGGTATCTGATATGTAGATCAGGTGATTCCGAATATCATCTACTGAATAGTAGGTGACTCCAAATGTGACAACTGTATATTGAGCAACTCCGAAAAGCATATACTGTATATTAGATGACTTCGAAGGTCATCGTTTGTATAGGAAATTACTCCGAAAGACTTTTACCATATAAAATATGACTCCGAAAGTGGTACACCATATAAAACATGACTCCGAAAATGATATATGGTATAATATATGACTCCGAATATCATTGTTTGTATAGGAGATTACTCCGAAAGTTATCTATGACTCCGAATGTCAGTTACTGAATATTATATGACTCCGAATGTCATTGTTTATATAGAAGATTACTCCGAAGGTAATCTACCATATAAAACATGACTCCGAAAATGATATATGGTATAATTAATATATGACTCCGAATATCATTGTTTGTATAGGAGATTACTCCGAAAGTCATCGTTTGTATAAGATATTACTACGAAAGTTGTCTACCATATAAAATATAACTCCGAAAGTCCCATATGGTGAATAGTAGATGACTCCGAAAGTCATTATTTATATAGAAGATTACTCCGAAAGTCATCCACCATAT